CAGGACATGATGCTCAGAGGTGGCTGGGTCCATAGTTCCCTTTTGGGTCCAGGTCAGTCTTTACACATGCTCTCTTCTGATACTTTGACTCTTGCACTTAAAAAAAAACTTCTTTCAGGGGTTTGAGTCAGAAAAAGGAGGACCTGAAAATCCAGGTGTCAGGAGAGCAGGGAAATGACCTGACAATACTGTGTATCTGCAGAGTTTCTTCTCTTGAATAATTAAGTATAAGATTACATGACAGAGTGGATGTAGATTTACTTCATCTGCTGAAGTCATGCAAAGAAGTGATTTCATCACAGGCTGAGAAGGCTTGGAAAAGTCAGCAGTGTCTAAAACAGATTTGTTCTCCAAGTTCAAAACCTAGGAGACCAGCAGGTGTGGTTCTGTAACTAGCCCCATCTCTAACTTCTAGTCCGATTTGGGGCTTTGTGTAACTTTGGGACCTCTATAGCTGGAATGCAATTTTCTCTTTTAGCATTAAAACTTTAGAACATGCGGGCCCCCCTCTTGGATTCATGATTATAATCGATTTTCCGAAATCAGCATTTCATTTAAAATATCGAATTTACTAGGCCCTTTGCCTTTTTTGGAGATCACAACCAAACTATAATAGAAATACCACTAGGAGGATGACGTGCCCATTCAGGAGGTCATGACTGTAAAGGGGATGCAGAGTCCCAGGTGACCAGTTTATTAGAAATTATTCCAGAAGGGATTAGAGAATGTTTTAAGCTGCTTACAGTATTTTTAGGAACTAGGGTGAAAGATGCTATTTGCATGCAAAATAATCTCATAAAGGAATGATTTTTTTTAAAAGACATGACATTTATATAATGACATCTTGTGGCCAGCTGCTCTTACCCATCTGGCAACTTAAAGATTTCCTTTTAGTTTCTTTGATATAGAAATTACCTACCATTAGGTCTGCCACTGGGCCTATTTAATTGGTATTAAAAGAAAGCACCTCCTTTGCCAGACCTGCTGTGGTTTCTGGCGGAAGCTGTGAGTGACCAGCAAATCTCTGCCCTGGAGTTGCCGAGAAAATGCAATTACCTTTCTATGTTCTCCTGAGGCTTTAGGGACTCAACTTATGAAAAAGATAACTAGCTTGTTGCTATTTCATGTGTGAAATTTTAATGAATTACTGGCAGTCTAAGGGTTTTCTGTTTTTGAAAAAACCAAAAACCTATTTTAGAATTTTTAATAGCCCTGATGAGAATTTTTGATTAGTCTGTCGTTCTCATCTGTTGCAACTGATGGATTTCTATTTTTTGTAGAAATGTTATTTATGCCCTCTGGGGGTTTTCATTTTACAATTAGAATGCTCTGCAAGCCTTATAGGTATGCTCCAAGTGAATGCTTCTGTGTAAACACAAATCTTTTTAGTCCTTAAAGGTAATCACATCTGACAATAGTAAATGCCAGGATGCTTATTTAAAGAAGGGGAAGGTTTTTAGTCGGGGAGAAAGGCTTTCAGTCTAGAAAATCAGATGCTTTACAATATTATAAGCTCTTTTCTTATAGACAGCAGGTATAAGCCTCGGGGGCTAAACTAAGAGAAATCTGCTTTCAGTGCAAAGAGGGAGAACAAAATAGATGCTAATCTTGGTGGTCCTTTTCTCCTTCTCCCACCACCAGATTTCAGGACATTATTTCTCCAGGGTTTGTTAGCAGCTGTCTTCCTTGTTACAATCAGTTATTCCGTAATCACCTCATGGGGGCTTCTCCGGAGACTCGGTCCACTGCAGTGCAGGGAATATTCTCGATTAATGTGGTGAGATTGCCATGGAGACAGATTGCCTAGTGTCAGGTCTTACATAGTGTTGGGAATTTACAATCCCCAGACATGTTTGTGAGCTGGACAGTGTAGTTACCAGGGACACTTCTGGAAGTCATTTTCTCAGTCCTTTGAAGGGCAGCGGTGTTTGAGAAAACTAGCTCTTGGTTCCTCTCTGGGCAGGAGCTGTGCTGCTTTTGTTCCTACATGCTGCTGCTTTGTTCTCGGTCTGAACGGCTGCTGCAAAAAATAATCCTGATTGCCTGACCTTTAGAATATACACTGGGAAGAGCTTGTTGTTTAGATGTAGCTTTGTGGGGGACATGTTGGTACTTTGATTCAGAGAATTGTTCAAGAGAAACCAGAAAATCTGCTATAGGTTTCAAATATTGTTTTAATAATAGTAAAAATAAACCTGAAAGGGACTTGCGTAGCTATATTGTGTTTTATTTTTGGAACTGAGCTCCAACCACAAAGGTATTGCAAAGACCCCAGGAACACTGATGTCATAATAAGTAAAAATAATTACTTATCTGCAAAGTCTAAAAGTCGCAAATTTGTCAGGGAGTGGAGGGAATAAGCGATGGGCCTTAAACAATGATACCTTCTGTGCTTTTTATGTATACTCTGTTCATTTATCTTTAGAACAACCCTGTGATAAAGGCATTATTATTTCCTCTCCTTTACAAAAAGCAAACTAAGACGTTAGGCAGGAGATGGGATTGTGATTGATTAGTACAAGGTGCAGTGTGTCTTTAGCGTCCCGTCACAGCACTGGAGATGTTTATGAGAGTCTGTTGGTCACTTTCAGGGTGCCTTGTAAAAGCATTGGCTAGCTTTTGGACCTCTGTAATCTGGGACAACCCTACTGCTTGGCGATGCTGCAGTTCCTCAGTGGGAGAAGGGGGCAGCTTTGCGGGGGGGAGTCAGGCCTGTGACTTTGGGTAGAGCAGGTCACTTGCTGCTCAGGTTGTTGGGGTTCATCCCTGGCCCTGCCACCCAGAAGAATCGAAACACACACTGGGTAGCTCCTTAGCTCTTCCCAGCCTCATGATGTTATTGCCTCTCTGGCCATTTGAAACCAAAGAACATATATCTCTTCCAGATGTGTTTGTATCTTACCTTTTCATTTTGGGTGAGTTGGCCTGTGAATAATATGACCATATTCTGGTTGGTTTCTGGTCCGGGACCATTAACAATTTCACCTTCGTTATGCTTAAGCTGGAAGATCAAATTTATACTGCACTGGATTACCCTGTTCCCAAATTTCAGAAGCTAGAACTGAAAAATTAGAGATACAGTCATGATCCAAGCAGAGGAAGGACATTTAAAGTGACAATAGTAAATGCCAGGATGCTCATTTAAAGTGTTAGTGCTGAATTTCTCTGGGGAAGGAACAGAATCAGAAGGGAGGGGATAAAGAAGGGCTTTCAGGTTTTAGTGTATGCTCTATATTGCTTGAGTTGTTTATGCTGAGATGTATCCTGAATTATTTGTGTGGTTAGAAAATATCTATCTAATTTTTTAAACAAACAAACAAAAATATATATAGAGAAGGAAACACGGTACTGCTTTTATAGCTCATGTATTTAGCAGACTGTAGAAAATACAGATCCTTTAATTGGATGAAATCCAGTTTGCACAGTAAGGTTGTTGATGGATATTTTAAGCCAGGAATTGGAACTGAATGAAATATTGATTTGGTTCAGGTTCAGTTCAAAGGCTACTCTGATATTCTGGTTTTGTTTCAGGTTGATAATTTTAGAAAAAGGCATAGGTATACTACAGTCTAGTTGAAAAGGAAAAAAGGTTGGCTCAGTTTTTTCTTTAGCAAAGTAACAATTTATTCTAGGTTTTGCTTCAAGTTGCTGCTTCAAATAGAACTGTAATATGAAATATACTGTGATATAAAAGTAAAACCACTGGGTATTAATTTTACATGACATGGAAGCTTACCATTTTGTGATTAACAAGCAAAATAATGGAATTGTAAGCAGAAAAGCTAAACCATCACAAAGTGTTATGTTTATATTGAAATAAATGTGTACAGTGTTCAAGTGGATTCCATGAGGCATGATGTATACTGTTAATGAAGCCACGGATTAGGATCTTAGTTCTTCTATCAGTTTTTGAAAAATTCCCTCTGGCTCAAGGCAGTTTTCTTGGGGAATTTTTACAAATGGATTTGGTGGGCTGAGAACTGTGGTGAGGCTTGGAACATTGCAGATGCTCACTGACTGTAGCAGTATGAGTGTGAAGTTCATGGTAAGCATTGTGATGGAAAAATTTGTTTGGTTTTGGTTTGCTTTCCAAGAATATATTTGAGACACTCAATTGGGCCATGTGGTTGTCACAGAATCCTTTTTACGCACTCTATCTTTGCAAGGTGATTTTCTTGTTGGGGATAGCCATGGGACAGCTTGAGAATTACACCTTTTTCCTCAGTTTGCATTGTCAAATTTGGCAATGCTTCCTACTGTGCAGATTGAGAAGTGGTATATAGCATCTCTGCGCAATATTCTAGATGGGCTGCTTTTTCTTTCCTGGGACTACCTGGCATCACAGGAGATTATTCTATTTGAACTCTCTAGCACAGCTAATTAATTCTGACTTCCTGGGGGAGAGAGAGGTAGTGGAACGTGTGTTTGTGCAGTGCCAATCTTGGGTCCAGGGCTACCCTGACTTTCTCGCTCAGATTCAGAGATTCTCAGGTTCAGAGGATTTGGGCCCTGCAGTGTTCTATTAAACAAAGCAAATGTGTTCCCTGATTTGGCTGTTTCTATTAATGAAATAGTAACATAATTAATTGGTAATTAGGATGCCTTAGAGGTCTGTTTCCCTTTGAATCAACCACTAGAGAAAATATGACTCTTAATAAAGTTCCAGCATATTCCTCAACAAAAGCAAAATGCATGCAAAAAATTGGGGACATTGCTGTGAGTTGGATTAGTTGAGAACTTGTGTGGTTGGGGGAACCAGTTTACTTAAGTAGTGCATCATGGGAGTATTCTATAGTCCTGTTCTTCCTAGACTAGTTTTGGTCAATTAACTGTGACTTTTCTTGTCACAGAGAAAGGACACAAACTATAACTCTGTGTAACAGATCTTTATTGTGTCCTCTGTGTATTTTTCTTCGGGAGTGACTATTTTTAGAACTCTTCCTGGGGGGTTGCATGCTCAATGTCTTTAAGATTAAACTTTTCTCGGCTGTGTTTTGCAGGAGAAGCTGTGCCTGAAGATGAACAGATCAGTGCTAAGGACCAGAAGAACCTGGAGCCTTGTGATAATACTCCCATCATAGACAATATTGCACCTGTTGTTGCTGGCATCTCTACAGAGGAGAAGGAGAAGTACGATGAGGAGATCTCCAGTCTGTACAGACAACTGGATGATAAGGTCAGTAGTTAGAGATCTATAGTCCTTGCTCTGGTACAAAGAATAGAGATGGCAGGGCACAGACAGTGTCATGCCCCATGGAGCTGATATAGGGCTACAGACTGTCATTTCGTGTCCGTCTTCCTAATCCCTAACCTAGCTTTTGATTGGGCAGATTGAAGGAGCTTGATTGGTGTGGAATGGAAACTTTCATGGGAATTTAATTAGAAGAGTAGGGTGTTGGCCTAGAGAGACAGGCTGGTGCTATTTAGAATCTTCACTTCTAGAAATTGGACTTGGCTGATTGCTGCATGACAGTGGAGTATGTGAGTGTGTGCGTTCTTTGTTTAAGTCTTTCTTCTATTCTTCTCTGGGCATATCCCTCATCTCTTGAAAACTCCCAACAGTAGCCTCAGCTAGGTCCAAGTGTACTGACTCTCAAACTCAAGTGTGTACTTTAATCATGTAGCTCTAAGGCCCTGGGATGAGGAACCAATAGTGGTGTGGTCTGATGTCTTCCCCTCACCACTGAAGCTCTTTTCAGGGGCATACTCTTGAAAGAAGTAGTTTTAGCATGCGAACTAGGAATGTCCGATTTTATGACAAGCTTTTGGTACTCAAATAGTCATGTAAATGCACAAGTCAGAATAGGGGAAAAAAGACCTTGGAGGACAATGTAGCATCCATCCCTAGTAAAGATTGGATTAGGAATCCCAGAGGCATAGGAAATTAAACTGATGTTTCACGTGATCTTGGCATATTGCCCTTGGAATATTCTAAATCCTTTCAGTTCATTTCATCAAGGTTGCTGATATTTTTAGTCTGATTTAATCTTTTCTACTATGGTTCAGCTCAGAGTGCTTGGGGACACCTCTGGTTTGGATGAAAAATCCTTGTTATGTTAACGTTGCCATTAATCTTACAAGCCTTTCTCTTTGGGGTAGAGCCCAGCGTCTGGTATCACCTTTACACGCTGAATGGGATTGGTTGCCTTAAGGAAGTTAGTTCTGCTTGTTTGTGACTCTGGGAGTTTGCATTATAACCACAGCCTTGAACTGGGGTCACTGTACCCTTCTGAAAACACATTTAATAAAATATTCACACCCATGAGAGCTGTTACTTGCCCTTTAGGCCCTATGTACTGTTAACTTCCATTTCTACCCATGTATTTTACACAAAGCCTCAAAGAGAAAATGGAAATCGATAGTAAGTTAACAGTATATGCAATTTCTTGAGTTCTCAAAAGAGCTGCTAGTGTTTAAACAGTAAGTTTAGACCATGCATTTTTTTTTTTTTCTGATTTTTAGAATTCATATTTTTGTTTTTGGTAATCACAGAGAAGTCATACAGAATTCTGGGTGAGGGGTGAGAATCTGATTCTATACTCTGTTTTCTATGAATAGATGCCTACCGTGGTTGGAACTGGGATTACAGCACAGGAGCTTTCATTGATCTGAGAGAGACTTTAGATAGTCTCGAAGCCAGCTTCCGAAATGTGGTGATGAGGACTAAGCTCAGAGAGATGAAATGCATTCAGCTGGTAGCTGGAGAGCTGGCTCTGGAATCTCTCTCCTGATGGCCAGCCAAGGGCTTTTTCTGTTGTGTCATTTTCCTGTAGCATATGCCTTGAAAACCCTGTAAAGCATACAGTTTGAGGTCAGCATTTGTGGTCCATCACAGGGTGATGGTGAGAGATGTGGGAGAGAACTGAACCCCAGAGCCTCAGCCTTAGTGGGTAGCAAGGCTGGTAGTTTGCTCTTAGTATCTCTGCTCATGGACTGCTTGATTACCTCTTGTCAGCTGACATTCTTATATCTTTTTCTCAAAGGTTCTGGAAGGTATTTCCATGCTTCTGATGATGTAGTTGGTTTGATACTTTGTGAATACATGGGTCAGGACATGGCATCTGTGTTAGTCTGTTTCTGTTGCTTATAATAAAATACCTGGAACTGGATAATTTTGTAAGAAAACAAAATGTATTGCTTATAGTTTCAAAAGCTGGGAAGTCCAAAGTCTGGGGAACACATCTAGTGAGGATCTTCTTTGGTCGTGGCTTTACAGCAATGCAGGGGTCTCACATGGCAGAATGTCGGAGCAGAAAGAGAGCTAACTCCTCCCTCCTCTTTTTAAAGCCCTCAGAGCCACACCCATGACCAGCATTAAACCATTAACTTATTAATCCATTTACTAAGGCATGGTCCTCTTAATCTAATCACCTCTTCAAGGCCCCACCTCTTAATTACCATAATAAGATTTCCTACCTTCTTAACACTGTCACAGCGGGGATTAAGTTTCTAATACATGGACTTTGGCAGACACAATCCAATCCAATGCGGCGTCTTCATAGTACTGAATGGTAGAACTGAGAGACCAGTGTGGTTATGTGACTTATCCAAGTTTACATCCCTCATGGGTGGCAGAGCTGGAATGAGGATATGTGTCTTCTGACTTCCAGTCTGGTGCTCATCCCATTGTGGCCTTAGCCCTGTAAGTGAAGAGCTGGTTAACCCCAATGACCAGGGTATGGTGGGAGAGAGACTATAAGGTTCCTCCCAGCTGCCCCTTCTGTCCCTCTGTGCTGCCCCTTCAGGGGTCTCCTGAGGCAGTGCTGGGTGATGGAAAAGCCTGCTCTGAGGCGCCACACCAGTGATTTCATAATACTGAGACCTGGCTGATGCCCTACCATGCTGCAGATGCTTTTCTCATTTGTAACATGGCTCAGAACTGTCAAAAAAAACTTTGAAAGGTTTCAATGGGGATTAAGCTTTGTAGTACACAGCAGGTGCGCACAAAGCATTAGTTCCCTTCTTTCTCTTCAGTCTTCTTCCTCCTGGGTTGTGTTTGCTTGAGGAAGAAGCCACATCATGTAGGTATTGAGGGGGTGGTATGTCAAGGCAGGGGAAGGGATGGTGGATCCCCGATGTTGAACTCCTTGGGTCTTTTTATGTTAATTTATTTAATATTTATGTGCTGAGGAGCATAAACACAGAATTGTTCCTGGTAACCAATATGCTAAATTTATAAAGTAGAAAAGAAAATATGTCCTATAATATAGTCTCCTAGTTGTAGAAGTACCATTTTTTTTTTTAGTTTTCACTCTGGTGTAATTTCCTTAATTTCTCTTGCCAGAAATATGATTTGGGAAGGAAAGGCATGAGCATTTTGTGGAACTATTAAAGAAACATTGGTGTGAAAAGTTCAGTAGGAACAGAATCTCTCTGAGCAGAGAAGTGAAGCCAAAAGATGTTCTACACAAAGGAAAAGGAGATGCAGATCCTGTACTATTGATTTTATAATGTTATTGCTCCATGGAAAGCATTAGTTTGTGATACTGGGTTAACCTGATTCAAATGTGTACGTAGACACCACCAAACAGGCTGGGGAATATCCTATGGAAAACTGAGGTTCTGTGACCCAGACTCTTAAGTTTACTCCTCTTTCCTCCCCTCTGGAAAAGGCAGAAAGCATATTAATTTTTTTAATGGGCTGCTGATGAAAACATGTAGGCAGGACCTGGCATGAAAAGGGACCCAATAGTACTGAAATGAGTCTGGATCTGTTTGGGATTTAGACCCTAGAAATGTCATCAAATAGGATTTTCTCCTATTTCTAAGGGACAGGCAAATGTGAAGCCAGGTTATTGTTCTTCATAGGCTATGCTTAAAATTTCATTTGAAATGAAAACATTTCAGCGAAGACAGAGTCTCTTGTGCAGTTCGGTGCCACCCGCTGCTCCTCCTGCGTGGGCGGGGGGAATGGGGGGTGTTGAGGGAGAGGCGGAGAGAGGCAGGCAATGTCCTTGCTTTTGTGGCAGCAACACCTAGTGGCAGAAAAGGTGAAGAGAGTGAATTCTCCTCTGCCACTTCAATGAGAGCTCAGAAAGCAAACATTAATGTTTCTGCATCCCCAGCTGTCACGAAAGTTTTTTGAATTGGTAAGAAAATTAACTCTCAATCAAGAGGGAGGTGTGTTATTGCCAAAGATTAATTCTCCAGTAAATGTTTTCCCAACCTGTGTTAAGAGGTTTGAAAGGGAAATATTTGTCTTTCTTCCCTATCATGTGACAGCATTCCTGGCCATTGATGTGTTTGACAAGATTTGAGACATTAATATATTACAATGAAGATGTTTGAAATTTACTTCCTTATTTTTGGAATTATGAATTCACTGTTAACATCTTGGAAGGGTTGTCTCCAAAATCTCTTTCAGATCCCATACTCTAGATCTCTGATTTCTAGATGAGCAAGAATTGGGTTGTATCTGTAGGATATTACAGTTCCCAGAATATTCAGATGTTTCATTTGCTGGGAAAGGGGAATGAGGAGGTATTTTAACCAAACAAGACCCCAGAACTAGTCTTCTTCTGTGAAGGAACACCACACCGTCCCCTCCATCTTATTAGCAAGCTTATGGCTGGCATCTTGGAACTATGTGTTGTCGGGAAACCAGGATATCAAAAATGACATAACTAACCAAAAAAAATTAAACATGATGTTTTGTTTCAGGATGATGAAATTAACCAGCAGAGCCAGCTGGCTGAAAAGCTAAAGCAACAGATGTTGGATCAGGATGAGGTAAAGAAAGCAATAAATTTTTTTTTTGCAAAGTTCTTTTATTACTCTTTGATGTCGATTTTGTTCCAGAAATTTAATTTGCAAAGAATTTTTTCAAAATCACTGAATCATGTGGAAATTTCTTGGTAGATTTTCTTTCAATTCCTGTTAAAAGCTGATTTTCACTGAATTTAGAAAGTTAAGTGTCTGACTTCGTAGAGCTCTGGGGTTTTGAGAGTGAGTAGCTGGTTGCCACACTTAGTCCTTGAAAAGCAGAGACATTTGTCTTGGAAGGTGGGCAAGGATGATTCTACCTCCACGTACCCGGCACTACTGTGTCTGCAGTTTTAGCCTGTTTCATCTTTGCAAATCAGCCGGCTCACGTCTTTGATACAGAACGTGTTCTCTTGCTGTCCTGTAGGGAAAAAAACAAAAACAAAAACAAAAAGAAAGTAAAGGAGGGGAGAGCAGAGAGGAAAGGGACCCCAGTGCTGCATTAGCATATATTTGATACACTAAAAAGCAAGGAAATTGTTTTCAGCCTCTCCCTGATGGCATTCAGTAGTCCAATAAATGTCTTTATTGTACTGTGTTTTGCCAAATATTTTACAAACGAGAATGTAAACAAAGGACAGACAGCCAATCTATCAAACATAGATGATTAGTAATCCGCTTGCCGAGGACTAAGTAGTTTTCTCTTCTGTACTTTAAGGTGACTTCTGCTTCATTGCTAAAGTACCGTCGGTTGGATCATACGATGCAACAATAGCAGGTGGCTTGGATTAGTCCCAGCCCTCCGTAGACAGAACTGTCTCTGTAACCATTTCTTTCCTCTTCCTCTCTGTTCCCCTCCATCTCTCCAGGGCAATGGTTATGCCCCTGCTCAAACACGTCCCTTGGTAGGGAGATAATCTATGGCTTTGCAATCAGATGAACTATGTTTATTTGATGTCTATCTTAACTATAGTTGAGGTCTTCCATTTGCTTAGTGTTTCCGGCCCTCTTCCCCCTCTTCTATTCCATTCCTGTGCATCGCCATTGGTACAGATGCCTGACATAAACTTTCCTTTTTTGTTGCATTTAAAACTCTTTTAATATTTTTCTTTTTCTATACTATCAAGGCAATTATCTGTTCATTACAGGAAAATCAGAAAATAGAATGGAAACAAAGGTAACGAAAGCATCCACAAGCTCAGGCATTCACTTTTAACTAGGGTTAATGTTTGGGGTATACCCTTCTATACATTCATAATGACTATTAAGAAAAAGTGACTGACTGTCCTTATATACTGTTTTAGTTGACTCTGAAATCAACCTGTTTACATTGAGAAATCACGATAATATTTAGAAAGCTATATAAGTATTTCAATAGACCTTGGAAATAATTCTTCCATCCTTTGTTTAATGTGTGGAATAGCCAACCAACTACAAAATGCAGTTATTTTTGATGTGCAATTCATTCTTTGGGTTAAGCCTATACAGCTTTAAACTAAAAAGAAAAGAAAAAGAAACAGATTTTTGAAATAATAACATGTGTTTTTTTAAAATTTAGCATCTGGACCATAAAATAGGGTTTCCGTCATCCTAAGCTTTTCCAACTTGTTTTCTTGTATCTGGTTTTTAAATTACTTTATTTTGGATAGAACATACAACATAAACATTTGATCGTTAGATTCATCAGTTCTCTTGCCATCTCATTTCCCCCAGCTTTTAGCTTCCACGAGAAGAGACTATGAAAAGATACAGGAAGAGCTGACACGTCTCCAGATTGAAAATGAGGCAGCCAAAGATGAGGTGAAAGAAGTTCTCCAGGCCCTGGAGGAGCTGGCTGTCAATTATGACCAGAAGTCACAGGAAGTGGAGGACAAGACCAGGGCCAATGAGCAGCTGACAGATGAGCTGGCCCAGAAAACGGTTGGAGCATTTGTGTCTATGGGGTGGGACTTCCTCGGCTGCCATTTCTGTGTTTATTGATGTTTGTGGACAGACACTGTACAGGAAAGCAGTTGGCTGAGTGGTTATTCAGTGTTATTCAGTGTTATATAGTTATTCAGACGAATTCTCTGAGGTGCTCCAACAATTGAGATACTTTGTGGAAGTGACGTTTGTCCGCTTATCCTGGAATTGCATGTCACAACTATTTTATATCTGGGGAATTTATAACATTAACAGGGACGTATGTGGGAATAGTCAAAAGAGTGCAGACTTTGGAGCCAGAAAAATCCTAGTTGAAAATTTGGCTTCACAACTCTTAGGCCTTAGTCAAGACATTTAAACTTCTTGAGTATTCATTCCCTTATCTGTACAAATGGTGATAATAATGTGCTCCATGCATGGTGTGAGGATTAGTGACAGTTCTTGTAAAAGTCTTAGCACCAACCTGTGCATATACTGCAATATCAATAAATAAATCCCATAGTGTTGTTATTAACAGGGAGGAGTGGGAGACCCATAGAAGGTATGGACTTCATTCTTTTTTTTATACCCTCCTGAATGAAATCCATTTCCTCCTCTTAGCTTCTTGTCCTAGCTGTTACTTTCAGGAGCCCAGTGCTAAGCTGTCCTTGTTTGTTTGCTGTCCTGTTTTAAGCTAGTCCTTCTGGCTGCACATTTCCTCATTTTCAGAATCTGGCAGTGAGATATGCTGCAAGTTCTGCCCGGTGAGCCGGCAGCAGCAGGGCAGTGCCACTTGGCAGGGTAGCCGGTGGTGGAGTGTGTGCTCTTCTACTTGGAAAATGGGTGATGGAGAAGCTGAGTGGCTGTAACCTGCTGCCCTTGGCACCTCCACCCAGTGGCCGGGTATCATGGGCTTGTGCCCAGCCTGATTTGTGGAAAACATCCAGTCCTCCTGGGCAAAGAGTAGTAGCAGATGGTGCAGGAAAATGCTGATCTGCAGACCGTGGAGCTGATAGGAAATGCTTCTAACTCAATATACTCAACTGTGTGGAGGAAGACTTTTCTAATGGCTTCTCAAGAAGGGGACTACTGCTTCTGTGGGTTTTAAAAACAAGATGAAATAAGCAGTTGGCAATGCCAAATGAAACAAAACAAAACCAGCCCATTCAAAAGTCACTTAGGAAAGGAGGAGACAGATTTTCTCTGCTTAGTGTTTTATACAGAATTCTTTTAACTAGCCCTTGGTATTATTTGCTTCTCAAAACAATTAAACATTTTGTTCTTATTTTCTGTCAAATCAAAGTATTACTAGACCAGTTTAGAGTACTATTTTTAGTCAGTTGATTAAAAAATGCTCTAGTAAAATAGAAAAAATGCATATGAAAAAATTACATAAATGTCTTTGCATTAACCTCCACTGCCTTAGGTGTATGGAGATTGTTTCTTTGTTAGATGAGTTAATACCAAGACACCCAAAAATGGCCATTCTATTGATATTGAGAGTTAAGTTAGTTAAGAATATATACCTTTTGGTAATACACATGAAGGATGGAAAAGAAATGAGTTTTAAAGTTTGGCAAGAAAATAGAGCTTCTGTTATAAATTAAGAAGTTAATGGTTGAACTTAATTTTGAAAAAAGATGAATAGTGTTTAATTCAGTTTCACTGGGGAGATTAGGAGACTTTTTCTAACTTGTTTTCTAAACCCATTAATGTTTCTTTGAGCCATCTATTATTATGAAATTAGACGGGAGTTTGGAAGTGGCCCAGGGAGCAGGTGTGTTTGGGAGTAGAGGTGGGGACACTTGCAGGTATGTTTATACCCTGAACTAAAACAGGGGAGACTGAAACAGAACATCTGATGGGTAGGAAGATGTAATTAAATGTTATAAACCTAAGGCCTGATGAAATTAGATGGGAGTTTGGAAGTGGCCCAGGGAGCAGGTGTGTTTGGGAGTAGAGGTGGGGACACTTGCAGGTATGTTTATACCCTGAACTAAAACAGGGTAGACTGAAACAGAACATCTGATGGGTAGGAAGATGTAATTAAATGTTATAAACCTAAGGCCTCCTTTTTTGGCTCTATTTATTTTTAATAACTTGTTTCACTGACCTGAAAATTGTCACCTGATATGCAGACGTATAATATATTTGCCCATATGATATAACTTGTTGATACGGCCTGTTTGTTGATATGACCTGATATATTACATATCTTCTTATCAAAGAATGCAGTGCTATACTAGATATCTGCTTTAAAAGGACTCATGTTGAAATTATGAGAAATGGTAAAAGAACTCCATCCAACATGATGCTGTTATTTCTTGTAATGCGGTGTTTATGAAATTGATGAGCAACTCTTTATTTGTTGTTGAAATTTGTTTTTCAGACTACATTGACAACCACACAGAGAGAGCTGAGCCAGCTGCAAGAGCTTAGCAACCACCAGAAAAAGAGGGCTACCGAGATCCTGAATTTGCTGTTGAAGGATCTCGGAGAGATAGGTGGAATTATTGGCACAAACGATGTGAAGACTGTAAGCCAGCTCCTCCTTTATCTTCTCTACCTGCTGTTATCGTGTTGTGATTCTAGCATCTTCACTTTATTCTTTTAAGTGTTCAACTTTTAGCTCCGTGCTTTGAATCTTCCACATGCCGTATAATATTTGGGTGAATGAGAAAAGGACTGTCTGAATGATGAAGTGAATGATTGTTGGGAGGAGAAGGAGAAAAAAAATTGACCTTTCAAATCTAGGGAAGGTCTTCAGCTCCTGGCTGGCTTTATTTGTAAATTGGGTTATTTCTCTGCCTTATTTGCCATTGTCACAGAGATTTGGAATTGGATAGGTGAAGCAACAGTTCTAATCTCAAAATTGTGTTTCTCTTTTTCTATAAGAGCCCACTGGAGCAAAAATTCTCCCATCCAATCAGTATGAATTGATAAAGTTTTCAGCAGTTAGTAATAGGACTCTAACATTGGCTTAAGAAATAAAGCTACATTTAATTATTCAGAATGTGAATTGTGTTTCTCTTTTTCTATAAGAGCCCACTGGAGCAAAAATTCTCCCATCCAATCAGTATGAACTGATAAAGTTTTCAGCTGTTAGTAATAGGACTCTAACATTGGCTTAAGAAATAAAGCTACATTTAATTATTCAGAATGTGAGAAGTCTTGAATCTTGCTATGCAGGGTGTGATCTGCATCACCTGGGAGTTTACTGGAAATACAGACTCTGAGGCCCTTCCTCAAAACTACTGAATCAGAATCTGCATTTTAACAAGATTCTTCAGATGATTCTTATGGTTATTAAAGTTTGAGAAGCAAACTTTGGTTTGGTGCAGTGGTTCAACAACGTCAAGGACCCAGGCGTTTTCTCTTACTTTCTTTCTGCTATCCTAAGCCTGTTTCCTTTCATTTCCTCAGGATTTTGCCTCATGGTAGTAAATTAGCACCAGTTATCACATCGTCTCTCAACTTCTACATCCAAGACAGGATGAGCTAAAATGGCTGATTGCTCTCATCCAGGAGGGAAATATATCCCAGAAGTCCCCGACAGGNGTTAGTAATAGGACTCTAACATTGGCTTAAGAAATAAAGCTACATTTAATTATTCAGAATGTGAGAAGTCTTGAATCTTGCTATGCAGGGTGTGATCTGCATCACCTGGGAGTTTACTGGAAATACAGACTCTGAGGCCCTACCTCAAAACTACTGAATCAGAATCTGCATTTTAACAAGATTCTTCAGATGATTCTTATGGTTATTAAAGTTTGAGAAGCAAACTTTGGTTTGGTGCAGTGGTTCAACAACGTCAAGGACCCAGGCGTTTTCTCTTACTTTCTTTCTGCTATCCTCAGCCTGTTTCCTTTCATTTCCTCAGGATTTTGCCTCATGGTAGTAAATTAGCACCAGTTATCACATCGTCTCTCAACTTCTACATCCAAGACAGGATGAGCTAAAATGGCTGATTGCTCTCATCCAGGAGGGAAATATATCCCAGAAGTCCCCGACAGGCATACCCTTATACCTGGTTGGATGGAATTGGATCACATGACCACCCAAAAACTGCAGGGGAAGCTGGGAAAGCAAAGGGGACTAGGATTATTATAATTGGCTTAAGCCAATCAGGATTAATCCCCTGGGGTTGTACACATTGGTGCTCTTGATAGCAAGGAAGTAAGGGAGGTGGGAGAATGCGGGTGGTATAAAGTTGTCCAGAAGCTAAGAATAGAAGGGAAAGAGAATAAAAATGTTGCAGCTACGAACGATTGACAATTTGCCATAATATAGAGAGGCCATTGTTTTCATTAACCAGAAAAAGAGGTTATTTTAAAAAATAGCTTTATTGAAGTATAATTTACATAAATAAGCTACACATGTTTTGACAATTTGCCATAATATAGAGAGGCCATTGTTTTCATTAACCAGAAAAAGAGGTTATTTTTAAAAATAGCTTTATTGAAGTATAATTTACATAAATAAGCTACACATGTTTAAAGTGTACAGTTTGAGAAATGTTGACATATGTGTACACTCACGAAATGATCACCACCAGTAACAAATGAACGTATCCTCGATCTGCAGAAGTGTGTGGGGCTATTTCCGGTCTCTCTGTCTGTTCTGTTTCATTGATCTAATCATTACGCCACAATGTTTTGATTACCGTAGCTTTATAATAATACAGCACCGTGTACAGAGTAGTCATTGATAAATGCGTGTTGATTTTATCAAGTTGGCAAATGGTGTTATATTGCTTAAATTTGTCCTACCGAGCCCCTAATACCAAGTTCTTTGAGTTTAGCCATTTTACCTTTAAAGGCTGAATTCTACATCAATCTGCTTAGGAGCGACACTCAGGTTGTGAGTTGGAGTTGTTAAATACTGGAAAAGGCTCCCAAGATTAGGTTTCCATTTATAGACTATTTCTGGGAAACAGAAATAGTTTTCTGGATGATGTAACAGGTCTAGGCTTAGAGTATATGACCTCTTGTAAACTTAATCATTCTTTCATGGAACCTCTGTTATAACTGAATATTTCATGAATCCTTGTGAATGAATCTAATTTTAGCACAGATGTCTCAGGTACTGTAGGGTTAATCCTATTAAGCTCCAGTTTGGTGATTTTATGTTTGAGGATTTAATTTTTTGAACCATACATTGGTTTTAAGCAATAAAATTCTGACGTTGGGTGATTAAATGGCTCTCACAATATGAAGGTGGAGTTGATTTATGGGAAGTTGGCGCCTGCTGCTGATAACGATAAAGGAGAGCATTTTTATGCTGAGTTCTAAAACAGAGCTGATGAGAATGCTAATGAAATCAAAGAGTGTCTGGGTGCTTTGGCATTAAGAAAAAGAGTCTTTCCCTTTGGGAATCTAAAGTATGATTGAGATTATTTTTAAATACTCAGTTGGATGTTTTTAAGATTATTTTTGGATTCCACACATTGGATGCCCTAGTTCATTTCATTGATGTCTTTCACTTATAGATCATAATATTCTTAATCATTCTGTTTCTTCCCCTTATAATTCTGATTTAATCAGAATCACTAGGACGATATGAGCTAAAGGAGGAGTTTTATGACTTTGGGCAAGTTGCTATACTTCTCTGGGCTTCGTTTTCCTAATTTGTAAAATGACAAGATGAGCTCAGATACCATGACTTCTACATATATTTGTTAGATTTATCGTTATGGGAACAGGCACTTTTCTTACTGGTTATACTATCAATTGATATGGTAATTCTTTTGATAGGAAAACAAGCAGATCAAGGAAATCTGTTTCAGTGATTTTTGTGTTTTTGTTCCTCAAATCCTATTCAGTTCCCACAAGTTCTCTCCTGGTATAGGACTTCGGGGAAAAGATGTCTGCTGGAGTCTCCCTCAGTCCTTAGTTCCAAAATACGACAGATCTGAGCAACAGGAAACAAAAAAGCCCCCATATTTCCTCAGCTCAATCCTGTCTTGAAATATTTCCAGAGTTCAGGCATTATCTTCAGTTAACAAAACAAGGTGAGCCCAGTAAATGACAAGGTGAGCCTGGCGTTAAACCGGTCCAGGTTTATTAGTGAGCCTCCTCTCCCTTTATGTACCTGTGTCACTGGGCTTACGGAAAACAAAGATTTCCAGCAATCTAGCCACAAACTGAACAGGAAGATGAGGGAGAGTAAGTGAAATGGCTTGGTTTGGCTGCCTCATTTTCTTTTGACCCATGCTGACTTCTTTTAGTCCCATCCTGACTTTTAGACCTTAGAACGTGAACAGTCACTGTACTTACCTTTTACTTGGCATAGAAATGGCAGTAGTTCCTCCCCTTGCACAGCCACTGTGTTTTTGAGAGATGGGGCTGGGTGGAGGTGACTCCTCTTATAATCAGGTGGAAACGACCAGCCGCATCTTCCCATGTGATTTCTTGGTGGTGCGGTCTTTTCTCCTGGATTGGTCGTGTGTTTTTGAGAGATGGGGCTGGGTGGAGGTGACTCCTCTTATAATCAGGTGGAAACGACCGGCCGCATCTTCCCATGTGATTTCTTGGTGGTGCGGTCTTTTCTCCTGGATTGGTTATTGGTGCTGGATCACATGGTGTAGTATGTACTGCTGGAGGCATTGTCTGACCCTGGGAGCGTTAAGCAGCAAACTCTGACTATTCTTTTTGAAATAACAGTGTACTGGAATTACTGGAAACTTGTAAACATGAAACCACTAACTACATGAATTCTGCAGCGGTAAGAGATTTCATAGTTAAAAACCATTCGTTTGGGGTATTGCTTTTTTCCATCAAGCATGGACTCAAAATCTCCTTTTAGACGTCCTAGGATGAGAGTTGGCTTCAGAAGTTTCGGTCCGGTTTGGGGGAAGAAATGTCCAGCTGTTACTGTGGAGGAAGTCCATGGTTACATGTATATTTTTACTCTTCCCCAGCTTACATGTCATCTGGGCACAGAAGACACCTAGGATGAGAGTTGGCTTCAGAAGTTTCGGTCCGGTTTGGGGGAAGAAATGTCCAGCTGTCACTGTGGAGGAAGTCCATGGTTACATGTATATTTTTACTCTTCCCCAGTTTACATGTCATCTGGGCACAGAAGACAAAGTTTTGTGCTCTGACAGAGCTGCAGGAGAGGGGCTTGTTCTCTTCCCAAGGTACCCCAGCTGTAGGTTCAGCAGCGCTTTCCTTCCAGGAGCTGGTGCTGGTGTAGGCTGTGAATTCCATATGCAAGAGATGTGCCTTCCTTTATCTTTCCATAGAATCTGGATGATATATGGGATATACCTGGTCAGGTGTAGGGAGGTGTTTCTCATCCCTCTTTCATGTTGGACCAATGATAAAGCTTTTCTGACCCAATACGAGGTACTTCAAAAAGCTTGTGGAAAAATGGAATTGAAAGATAATATGAATCTTCCCATGAACCTTTGAAGATCCCTCATATGTCCATGCTGTTGGGTTATAAAAAGAATGTGACGAGGAGTGGTGGTGGTGGGCAAACCATTAACAGTCAGAAATGTAGCTGGCTTAGCAAGGACCTCCATTAAGGCAGTCAAAAATTGATACTTGTTGAAATTCTTGCTGTTAACATAGATTCTGCATTGTGTTGATTGACGCTGGAGTCATTTAATAAATACTGTTGTTGAATTTAGAGGCAGGTTCACACCAAGTTACAGGCACTCAACGTCCAGTACTTTGTATTTGCTACCAATTTTCAAGGCTGATACCTTGTTCCAATCTCTCAGCTCTCAAATGTTTACTGAAAAAAATAGTTATATGACAATAGCTGTAATGACAAATGTGGGCAGTTAGAGTGTACTGTGGAGCATCAAAAAACCATGGTTGGAGTCATCGTCTTAGGACCAATTGAATCCCGTGTTCTCGGGCTGGATTCTGGACAGCGCTCTCTGTTTTCTCCTAGGTGCTAGGCTGCCCTCTGGTGGTTAAACAAAATACACGCAGCGTTACTTCCTCATCTGGTCAATTACCCTTCAAGACCATGTTTACCTCTCAGCAGATGGGATTCTGTCCCAAGTATCTTGCTTCAATTTTTGTTTTTACTAGAACTCTGAAACTTAGAAACCAAACATAGATCATGCAGGAATGCTGGCTGTCAGAATGTTCTCTTCCAAAGGTGGATTTAGACTGTTGTTCTCAGATGATCTTAAATAATGAGCTAGATTGCTGTCTATTTGGAAGGGGCAGGTGTGAGAGGCAAGGAAAAATAGATTGGTAGTGATTAAAAAGTCATGAGAGGAGGGAGACCTTTATTAAGAGGGGCCTTTGGTAATGAATGATACATTCTTATTCATTAGATTTTCCATTTTATTGAGGAGTATATAGAGAGTCCTTTTTATTTCAGTTCTTCCTTATAGAAACATGTTCAAGGCATTAGACTACTTCTCTACCTGAATCAGCAATCTATAGATAATATAACTGAAATTTTGATATGAGTTTCTGTAAGGATTCAGGGTCACCTTTAGGAACATTGGGACTGACTGCTGTTATAGAGATGTAAGGTGTAAGACGTTGAATGGAATACCTCTTAGAAGTTATCTCCTTTTTAAAATCATCAGTGTTTTTCTTCTTTTGATGTCATCTCGTTTACCCTAAAAATCAGTTATAATTAAAAACCTGGTTAATTGAGGATTATATTTAATAGAGATTTTCCTTTGAAAGTTTCACTTGAGGTTTCAGAGAACTTGGAGTTGAATGTATAGTACTTTTCAGAGAATATTTTTGTCTTGCTCTGTGATTAGGGATTCTTAACCAGAAGTCTGTGGACATCTTAAGTTTCCATGGACAGGTTTCAGGGGCTCCACGAGCCTCTGGAAATCACAGGCAATGTTTGAGTGTGTTCCCTCCTGTGCTCAGTTGGCAGATGTGAATGGAGTCATTGAAGAGGAGTTCACTATGGCCCGCCTGTACATCAGCAAGATGAAGTCAGAGGTCAAGTCCCTGGTGAACCGCAGCAAACAGCTGGAGAGTGCCCAGATGGACTCCAACAGGAAGATGAATGCCAGCGAGCGGGAGCTGGCAGCCTGCCAGCTGCTCATCTCCCAGGTGAGCGACTTTTCTCGTCATTTCACACCCTTGTCCTCTTGAGATCCGTTCCCTCCATGCCCTTCCTGGTGCTGATGGTGTGGAACAAGGAGAGTTGACTGACTTTGCTTTACATAAGCATGGCTTCCCCAGGCAATGACAGCCCAGGTTTATTCTTAAGGCTAGATTTTGCTGTGTGAATTCTCTTAAGTATCTTCCCTTTTCAAAGGATCTATCTGTCTACAGATGGATAAATAGATAGATAGGGATATGTAATGAATGGACAAGATCGAGTGGAATCTTTAAAACTCCTATCAGCTAAGACAGTATTCCTGCATCTTTTAATCTCTACCACAGGTCCAATTTAATCTGGAAAATTGGGAACTACTGCTACTACTATTACTATTAGTAGTATTACTAATAGTAGTAGCAGATAACATTTTATTTAGTGTTTACTCTGAGGCACACACTGTGCTATGGCACTTTACATGCATTTTCTCACTTGATCTTAAGAAAAAGTCCTGGTAGGCAGATTTTATTATTGTATCTCTTTTTCAGGTAAGGAAACTGAGACTTCGATGAAATATATTGTCTAAACACATACAGACAGTGAATAGTAGAGCTGGGACTTAAACCAAAGTGTGTGTGAATCCAAAGCCCATGTCTTCAGGGGCTTTTCAAGCCCAAGGGCACAATTCATTTGCTGAATGAGTAAGGCTGCTCTTCTTCCCTTTGAAATGGCATTTTCATTTTTGTAAGGTTGTTTCAAAAACAGTAACCCAGTTTCTGGGCTGCCACTGGTATCCGAGTGTGGTGTTTGGGTTTGAGGTTTCTGTGAGTGGTCCAGTTGTGTGCTGCTCACTGCCTTATGCCAGACATAAAGCAGCCAAAGTCATTTGGAGGAAACAGATACCAACAAGGATTGGTGTGTCAAATCATACGAGAGACAGACAAAAACGTACTTCGTTCTGGTATGCTTTTAAGCATAATAATATGTAATCATAGAAACATCTTCAACCTCCTTGTCTAAGATGGATCCACAAAGTTCCATTTTATAACTAACATAATAAGCAAAAATATATTGCAGAGATTATTCAATGCCGGTGTGTGATAGTGAAATTGATACATTCATACATTGTCAGTAAAAGTATAATTTGGTTAGTCCTTTTGAAAAACACCTTGAAAATCCAAAACCATCAAAATGTAAGTATATTTTGGTCTTGTAATTTCACTTATAGTATGTTTCATAGGTAGTGAAAATGAAAATTTTTTTATTTCATATGGTATTAACATTTCCTGATTAAAAATATTAAAAGCTTATATGCAAAGTGTTGAGTGCAGTGTTATTTTATATTATAATAAAAGTAAATTGATAGAATAATACCATAAAGTTACATGGAAGAATATTATGCAGCTCTTATAAAAAGTCTATAAAACCTAGCTATTTGGAAAGTATAATTATATAAAGTTAAGCGAAAATGAAAATGCTGAGTTGTATCTATTGCTGTGCTTTGCAACTTTGTAAAAATGCATTCCTATAGATAAGACCAGGAACATAAGGGGGAAATAGTTGATAAATTAGAAGTGGTTTACGGGTGAAATTTATACAACTTTTCCTGGATTTTCTTTATATCTTTATAATTTATAATCTTTATAATTATATATTTATCATTTATAAAAAGACATTTTTATAATTTATACAAATCGAGGCAAAAAACGATAAACTTTAGGGAACAGTGCACCTACAGTGTGAGTTCTAGATCACCTGTGAGACCAACACCACATGCTTTGGGCAGTCCTGTCCCAACAGCCGGAGGCTAAGGCCAGGGTACAGAGGCCCTGCAGCCTACAGCCACCAACTACTCTTTCTAGCCAGACATACCGGGTCCATGTCCAAGTCCCTTCTGCACCCTCTGTGAACTGACGGAACCAATGGGCTGTGTCAATTGTAATCTGTGTAAATAGGTGGGGAAGAAACAGTGCTGGGCCTGGGTGTGGACTCAGGCCTTTAGAATAGGGAGTTTCTAGGTCCTGAGTACTCAGAGTGTGGTCTAGAAAGGGATGTGGGTTCAGGTGGGCATGCTCCCTAGGCCTATGAATTCTTTGCTCAGTGGAGTGGGGTGCTGCCAGAGAGGGCCCAAATGGGGTGCTCTAAAGTGTGGGGCCCAGGACTGGAGCCCCCAGTGCCCAGGTCTCAGAGTGACACTGACTTTGAATATGAGAGGAGTCAAGAATATTAGGATATTTGGGGGTTAAAGAATACCTGTGATAGAAATTTCTTCCTACAGCAGCGACAAGCACAATTTTCCATTAGGTGTCATTTTGCACTCTGCTACAATCTACTCAAAGCAAGAGATTTAGTCATCATTTCCTGGGGTTCAAAAGTAACAGAAACCTTGGCTCTTTATTTTCTGACTTGATCTGAGGAATCTGACAAAATATTTCCAGCTAAAATGCTATCTTCTTTGTTTACACTCATCCTCTTCACCAAAAGCTATGCTTATAAAATGACTGCTCCCACTGAGTTGCAGTTCCCCAAGAAATTATTCGTTATAGTTGAGTCTCCAGGGTCTTCTGCCTGAATGTGAGCTCCCCAGATCTGGAGTGGGGAGTGTTCTGCATATTTTCATCTGCCTAGAAGTCTCTGCTGTTCCTGTTTAGCCAACAAATTCCCATTTATTCATTCATTCCACTGATATAATTTATTAAGCACCTACTTTCTGTCCACATGGAGCTAACAAGGAAAAAATAGACAAGACAAATCATGTAGAAGTTGGGTGCTGTAAGAGAATGTTGGGGTCTCAGTGATAGACGCTAGCCAGGACACTGTGTTGGGGGGGTGGGCAGTGCGATGGTCGGGGGTGAAGGGAGCTTCCCAGGGAGAGGAAAATGTAAAATGCAAAGTCCTTGAGACAGGAATTGGTGTGTTTAAGGGACAGAAAAGGAAATGACTTAGTGTTTGAGTTGCAAAGACAGAATCCAGAGGCACATGTTCAAAGAACAAGACCGTCAGCCCTGCACATTTCCCCAGCCCCTTCCTCTCCAGCACACTTTCCTATGAGGATAGAAAGCTTGGGCTTTGGGATCTCACATTAAGTGGATGGTGGGGAGGGTGTAGCATGAGCAGTATGTGGGAAATGAGCAGAGAAGCACATGGAAGAATCAGAGGACTGTCTTGGTCCATGATTCCGAATCCTGAGCAAAGAGCAAACTATGTACCATTTGGTGTTGGTGCTCAGAAAAGGAACACAGGAACTCTTCCTCTGTTGTGTTGTCACATTGTCCCATCAGAGTGTCCCAGGCAAGCCTGGATGACCACATGTGGGAAATGAGCAGAGAAGCACATGGAAGAATCAGAGGACTGTCTTGGTCCATGATTCCAAATCCTGAGCAAAGAGCAAACTATGTACCATTTGGTGTTGGTGCTCAGAAAAGGAACACAGGAACTCCTCCTCTGTTGTGTTGTCACATTGTCCCATCAGAGTGTCCCAGGCAAGCCTGGATGACCACGTGCTAGTCATTTACTCTTCCTTTTGCTCATTTGCTTGCTGAAAGCATGAAGCCAAGATCAAATCCTTGACAGACTACATGCAGAACATGGAACAGAAGAGGAGGCAGCTGGAGGAGTCCCAGGACTCACTCAGTGAAGAGCTGGCCAAGCTCCGGGCCCAAGGTGAGACTGATTACTTTGCACTTTGCAGGTGTCAAGCACTTGACCTAAATCAGACAGTCTCTAGTTGGCTGGAGTCATGATGTATAGTTTGCTCAATTAAAGCATTTCTAGGTCTACTGAAAACAATGGCATAACTGAAAAAAAAAAAAAAGAGAGAAATTTCTAGAAGACTGCCCCCACCCTGAATCTGCCCTTCTTCCAATTTTCCCTCAGTTCACCCAGCTGCCCAAGTCAGAATCCTCCCTCCCACCCCCACCACCTACCTCTGTCAATCACCAAGGCCTGTCCCTTCGACCTGCCAGATGCCCCTCTAGTTCTGCTCACTTCTGTCTTCACTGCCACTGTCCAGGTTAATTAAGGATCATGTCTACATCCATCTACCGAGGTGCCAGTCTGCCCTGGACTGTGCTACATCCCAAGGGATGTTACTAAAATTCAGATTCTATCTGGTATCCAACCCCATGCCTCTAACCCTTCCCTGGCATCTCGTTGCCTGAACTTGTACCATGGCTTACTGGCACCATCTGCCCTTCAACAAGCACTTCCCTTTGCCAGGCAATCTCTGACCTTCTTTGCTTAGGGATGTGCATGACACATAGGAAGCAATAAATATGAATAAGTAGAAGCAGACATTCAAGAGAGGTGACCAGAAATGCAAAAACTAGGACAGGATTAAGAATGTATGCATCATGCTATGTGAAACCAGAAAACACGTGGTGGGTTGCAATGAAAATTGTCCTTTTGGAAAACAATTTGAAAATACATATTAAACGGGCCGGCCCGGTGGCGCACTGCTATAGTGCGCCGCTTGGGAAGTGCGGCGGCGCTCCCGCCGAGGGTTCGGATCCCACATACAGACCGGTTCCCGCTCACTGGCTGAGCGAGGCGCGGGAGCAACACTGAGGGCTGCGATCCCGTTGCCGGTCCCGGTCCGGTACGGGGGCAACACTGAGGGTTGCGATCCATTGCCGGACACGGAAAAAGACAAAAAAAAAAAAAAAGAAAATACATATTAATAATTGTAACTTTTTTTCATACCTTTGATCCTTAAATCTCAAATAGTCATTGCAGAATTTTTGATCAGCAAAAACAAAAAAAGAAAAAGTAGAAAGCCACTTAAATGTCTAACAGTTAAATACTACGGTACATTGTTTGATAGAACATTTTTTTCACATTGGAGATGAAATACATGAAGGTGTGCAGCAATGCTTATGATACATTGTTAGATTAATAATGACGATACGTAGTTTTATCTTTACTGTGGTTATAACTATGAAAAATGAATGTATGCTTGTGTTCCTAGAAGTTAATATTTAAAATAAAAATGGTTTTGATAGGGTAGTAGGGTTGGCAATGATGCTATCCTTTTTTATTTTCTTTATTGTTGTTGTACAGTTATTTGCTCATTAAATACATTTTATTTTAGATGGCAAAGCAAATTTAAAAAAGAACATACCACCCTGCTATAACCTTATCACATTTTCTTTATGCGATGATGAATGAAGGTTAGAAATAGAATGTGCCATCAAAAACTGGACGCAGAAAGGAATTTTTCCCTCTTGTACATGATTTTTGCAGTGGTAGAAGTACAGTGGAACAGACTAGAGAGAAATAAGGAATTGCTCCCCCTGCCCCCACCCCACTTCCCCAGGTTGGGCTGCCCTTCACACCATGTGCCCAGGGAGCTCCAGGGACCGACAATACGAGGAGACAGGAGGGTCATGCAGCCCCGCCCCAAATAGGGGGCCTTCCTGTTTCATCTCGAAAGGGTTATGTTACATTTCTATTTCCCTTGTTCTCATCCTTCGGTTATGTTTTCCTGTTCCAGAGTCTTAGAGAATGAACAGCTTGCCCAGGGGAGGTAAATTAGCTTTTTCTGGAACTCCAGCAGTGGCATGAATCCAGATGTCACCCGACAGTCACAGCTTGCTTTATAATCTTCAAAGCATGTCTATGTACATGACCTGAGGAGTCTCTCAGAGGCCAGGAGGGAGACAAGTCCTCCACGGTGGGAGGTGCTTTAGAGCCAGGTTTCAGTTCTAGGGCAGCCTGCTCACAGTCAGCACACCCCAGCCCCATTGCCACTCTTCCCTGGGGGCTCTGATCCAGATGACTTAAGAAATGGTGCAGGAGTTCTTCACTGGAGGTCTGTTTCTTTATGTTCTGGTTGTAATTGGTGATAGAAGCTGATGTTTCACTCTATGGCCATTTCTCTTGTTTTTTATTTTTGCTTTTGGGTATGAGTCCTGCCAATTAAATGTTAAATTGTCATTTAAAATTCAAAACAGAAAAAATGCATGAAGTCAGCTTCCAGGACAAGGAAAAGGAACACCTGACGCGCCTGCAGGATGCTGAGGAAATGAAGGTGTGTACGGCCGCCCCTGCCACCGAGCCTGGTGTGCCTCTGATGCGTTTGAACTAGATTTTGTTGCTGTTCTAGGAAAACCTGTCACTTTCAGACATGTGCAGGCAGCGTAGGAAGGAGAGGGAGGGACCCTTGCTGGGCACTCAGCTGTTCTGAGTATGGCCTGGCTTGGAAGTGAGGTGACCACGGAACGTCCAGAAGCCCTGAGACGTCCGTGGATGGTGGTTATGTCACGTTAATACCTTTGTCTTCCCTGTTCCTGAGGAAGAGAGAAAGGGCAGCACCCCAGTGACTGCGTGGGCCACTTTGTCGGGGTTAACTTCTGAAGAAACGTCCACCCTTCCTTTCAATAGAAGGAAACCTCTCTCTTCAACCTTTGTGAAAAACACTCCAAATTTGACTTTCCATCTTAAACATAGAAATCTTTATTTTGGTCACATTTCGAACAGTAAAGGAAAATACAGGAAAAATGATTGGCAAATAAGACTCTTAAGTGAATAAAATGAGATATGAGAAGATGTAGAATTTTTATTAGTTTTAGGCAAACTGTGAGCCTCACCGAGCAAAAGCCCGTGTTAAAGCCATGCCCACGCGTGACCCTGCTCCAGCCACAGAACACAATCATGCCTCTCCTGGACAGCGGCTCTTCTGTTTTCAGAATACTTTGGTGGAAAGGTCTCCTTTGAACATCACCATAACCTGTGTAGTGGGCAGGGTGGGGGCTGTTATCTCAATTTTACAGGTGAGGAAGTGCCACTCACAGAGGGTACTTGGCTTGTCTGAGGTCACCCGGGTAGTAAGAGGACCGTGTCCTCTGACTGACCTGGCTAGAGAAGCCTTGTAGCTCAGGTGAGCTTAGAAGGTCAAGGGGAAACTTTAATTAATTAGAGGACTAATTTGCTGCCAGGGCTCACTCAGTTTTATAACAGTCCTTGGGTTTTGTTGTTCCAGTAAAGCCAGGTTGGGTTATGGGGGCACAAGAGCCAGAAATACTCCCAGTTTTAGGATCTGATATCTGGGATGTGGGGTGGAGGTGGACACAGGTACAGGGCTGTCACAGAGTGGCTGAGTGCCAACGAGTGGTGACACATCTCTCTTGGCCGGGGCTACAGAAGGCGTTGGAGCAGCAGATGGAGAGCCACCGGGAAGCCCACCAGAAGCAGCTGGCCAGACTTCGAGATGAGATCGAGGAGAAGCAGAAAATCATTGATGAGATTCGGGAGTGAGTCGGCCCTGGGGGCTTGAAAGGGTGTGGGGTGGGCATGACATGGTCCTCTTGGGCTGACGTGGGGGGCCCCGTGGGCTTTGTGCTCTGCCATAGTAACACCGTGGCTGGACGTGCTGCTCCTGAGGCCCATGCCCCATCTGGAGCTGAGCCTCCTGGAGCTCTGGTGTGGCAGTTGGCAGGCGGGCACAGCTGTCTTCCTTAGTCCCAGAGGCAACTTGGTTGGGCAGATGTGTGCCCCAGTAGATAGGGAGACTATATGTATGAAAATAAGCCTCCTGGAGCTCTGGTGTGGCAGTTGGCAGGCGGGCACAGCTGTCTTCCTTAGTCCCAGAGAGGCAGGGTCACATTGGCAACTTGGTTGGGCAGATGTGTGCCCCAGTAGATAGGGAGACTGTATGTATGAAAATATGAAAAAAAAAATTGGTCCTGATTCAGGGGTTCCGATAGGTTTATAAACACACCCCAAAGAAGACAGTCAGCACCCACCACCTCCTTGCCCCAACACACACAAGTACATGCTCACTGGGCAACTCCAGCCACCTGGTCACATGTGCACACATCTTAGGGACCCACGCCCTTACATGCCTGCACCCTCAAAGGTGCCAGCAACCCATCAAAGGTGCCAGCACTGCCACCAGGATGGCATTATTGCTGTTTGTCTCTGGTGGCACTCCCCGCATGGCCAGACTCCTGCCTTGTGGAAGCCTCTGAGGAGCCTCCCTCCCCCACTCCATGATGCCCTGTCCCTCCTCCTCTCTTACCTTCCCCCCCCCTCATTAGCAACACAGAAGTCACCCAGCTGAAAGGTGCCTTTGGGACCCTCTCCTTGGGGTTCTAAACATTTTTGTGCAGTGGATCCCCTTGGCTGTCTCTGAACCCCTTTGCAGAATAATATTTTTAAATACTCCAAAGAAAAGATGTAGGATTACAAAGAAAACCACTTACACTGAAATACAGTTCCATCCACTGATACCCAGCCCCCAGGGTCTAGACCAGAGGTCCCCCCCCCCACACTTTCTGGAAAAGAAGATACAGATTTCTATATGGCAAGCAAGGTGAAATGGTTTACTTAAGGTCACATTGCTAATAGGAATCAGACTGGAGTTAGAGTTTAATTCTCGAGACCACTGATCCAAATCTCTTTTCAGTGTATGTAAGCTGCTTGCACAGTGCATTTGCATTTTGAAAGAGGAGAATGGTGACTGAAGCAAAGGCCGATGGGTGCGGTCCAGACTCTGCGCACAGTGCACCTAAGGAAGGCACTTTGCGTCCTCTCTCCCCTGCTCCTCTGGGTCACCCCCATGCTATCACTCATGTTGTGCTTTCCCCTTCAAGCGTGTCTCATGTTCATTATTCTGATTAATCACCCTCAAAACATTCAACTGGAAGGGAGGGGGAAGAGAGAGGGAGAGTCGGTGAGCGAGTCAGTAGGCGGGACGGGACGCTTCCTTAAAGGGACTCTAGGCTTTCCTTCTCGTAGTGTACAATCTGTTCCTTTACAGTCGCTTAGGCATGGCCACACAAAATGTCTTAGGAGTACGGGGCTGACCAAACGCCCCCACCAGATGGCAAGTTTCTGATTGCAGCAGAGCCCGACTCTCCACTTCCTAATGCTTCTCTCTGCACGCCCTCCTCCAGGCTCTGCAGAGCAGGACTTGGGAGATGTTTTCAGAACATCTGACCAGCGAGGAGGGAAGGTCGAAATGGCCAAATAAGGTTACCTGGCTGAGTGCATGCCGTTGGCAGGGCTGGAGTCTTCAGCAGGATTCTTCTGACAGGGCTTTCTTTCTGTTTCAAAATCGGTCCTTTTCCCATCTCATTATTTTTCCCCGGAGGCTCTTGCACAGGCAAACTATAAATACATCCTCAAAGCCTTTATGTATCATGACTCTTAGATGCTCCCCAGAAATTAGTTTTTACTTGGGCAAGGAGGAAGCTGTGAGGTTGTTCTCTGATCTCTCAAAATCCTCCAGAATTGCTGCCTTTATTGTACAGAACTAATGGGTCTGGAACAGAACCTCGGTGTTAGCTGGATGACTCAGAATTTCAGGCTGATGTGGAATATATTGCTTTTTCCTCTCAATTTCAGTTTGAATCAAAAACTGCAACTAGAACAGGAGAAGCTCAGTTCTGATTATAACAAGCTGAAAATAGAGGAGCAAGAGAGAGAAGTGAAGCTGGAAGAGCTCTTGTGAGTGCACTCTAAATATTTCCTCTCATCCCTGTGACATTCTGGTTAGACTGAGCTCATTTAAAAACAGGCAGTGGCTATTTGTGTGCTTGTTGGCTAGTTTCGCTGATTTATCTGTAGATGCAAATAGTATCTGCTTAAATCTCTGATTCCCCTCTGGTGGTTTATGATTCCTTTCTGTTTTTTAGATTGCTCAATGATAAAAGAGAACAAGCCAGAGAGGACCTCAAAGGGCTGGAGGAGACAGTGGTATGTTGTGATATTCCCCAATTCATTTCAGTGTCAAAGACCAGATTAATTTGTGATGTGTTGGATTATTTATTCTAAAATTTTATCTCTGTATATCTTTCTTGTGTATCATTTTAGTCATGAAACATCTTGTGGAAAAGTGGGATATGTAGAATTTATTCCCCAGCTCTTGACAGACTCAGTCAATTCACGGATCCATCCATTCATCCTTAGAGCTGCAACCCTAGAGCCCCTGATCAAGAATTAAACTGAATTGCAAGTCAATGCCTATAATTTTGCAGCCTTTGCACTTTGAAACTTCCACTCAACATTCGACAGATACTTACTGAGAACTACTAAGGGCTGCATTCTTCTAGGTGCTTGGATATATCAATAAACAAGAGAGATAAGACCCCTGCCCTCATGAAGCTTACTCTTAGCTGGGGGAGGCACAGTACACATTAAGGAAGCAAAACATGTGTTCCATTAGGTGGTTATAGAAGGTGCAGACAGTGCTTGGGGACCCATGAAGAGGTGACATTTGAGCAGGAACTTGAAGCAGGGGAAGAAGTGAGCCATGGGGATGTCTGGGGGAGAGCATTCCAGGCAGAGGCAATAGCTTGTGCCAAGGCCCTGAGGTGAGCCCATGACTGGCTGAGTGAGAGAGGGGTAGAAAGTGGCCACAGAGAGGTAAAGGCTGGAGTGGATGCAGGCCAGGTAGGGCCTTGAGACCTGCAGGGTTTGGGGCAGAGGAGTGATCGACCCGCTTGCTTTTGGAAAGGCTCATTATTTGAAATCCCAGTTGGTTTTCTCTGTCCTGCATCTGGACCCACTGGCTTCTTCTCCTCTGGTCGGCTTACAGCTGCTGTGAAGGGTGGCTGCCTGGCTCTGAGTGTCATGCCACACAGCCTGTGTCTCAAGACAGACCATTCTTTTTTTTTTTTTTTCCCTTTTTGTCTTTTTTTCGTGACCAGTAACGGGATCGCAACCCTCGGTGTCGCACCCGCACCGCGCTCAACCAGCGAGTGGACCGGTCTCTATATGGGATCCGAACCCTCGGCGGGAGCACCACTACGCTCCCAAGTGCCGCACTCTACTGAGTGCGCCACCGGGCTGGCCCAAGACAGACCATTCTAACATCACCTCTCAATTGGGTGAAAATGTGCACACACTTGGGCCGAGCCCGTGGCGCACTCAGGAGAGTGTGGCGCTGGGAGCGCAGCAGCGCTCCTGCTGCAGGTTCGGATCCTATATAGGGATGACCGGTGTGCTCACAGCGCTCACTGGCTGAGTGCGGTGTGGCCAGTCTCAAAAAGGACAAAAAAAAAAAAAATGTGCACACACTTCATGTGATGCCACAACAGGGAGAAACGGTTATTTAGAAACAGTCATACATTTTGGTTCCATTCATGTGCCCTGTGAGTCTGTGGGGGACTGAGCCCATCTCCAAGAACCTGGTGAATCCCGCTGGAGCTACATGGTTGCTCAAGCCCTTGGCCAGGACTCGTCGTTCCCCAAAGCCAGGGAGAGGGAACGAGGGCACAAGCCATTCAGGACAGAAGCAAGAGACCCGTGTTCAAAGGAAGCTAGGCCTTCCGAGTGTGGCGGGGAAGTCTGCAGGAGGGTGGCTGCAGGGGAAGCTGAGACCAAGCCGCGCAATTGCTTCATCTCCATCTGTGTTACCAGACAAGTGATCCTGCAAATATAGACAATTATAGAATTTCACAGAAATATTGAACATGAGCATTTTGCTATATTCCCACCAGCCAGGGATAAGTGATACTTCAGAACATTTTCTTCCTTTCCCCCATGAAGTCTCATGCACTGTCACCCTGTCCTTGCCTTTCCACGCTCATATACATGCTTGCTCACTTTCACCTCCCTCTCTCTGCAACTCACACCCACAACTAACTCACATGCTCCCGCACACACATCATTGCACTCGTGGTGGCTGACACACACCACATAGGCCCTCCCTCACATGGCACACTGCTGCACTCTCATCCACACACCATGGTTACAACGTGCACACATGCACACACTCAGTGCACCTGTGACCCTCCCCACACACAGTCCCGCTTGCTCACGCACACATACCCACACTGCTCACTCATGTGCTTTCTCATGCTCACTCTTGGGCATGCTGTTGAAAGGATACTTAGCGGCTTCTTTTGCCTTTTCAGAGGTCTGACTATGTCGTTTGAATGACGCATTTTCCTTGCTGGCCTCCTTGTCTCTATCCACTCCTCCCACCCACCCTCCCGTGTGCTCACTCGCAATTGCACGCACATGCAGATATGCACGTGCACTCTCTCATACATGCAGTGTTTGCCGTTTTGGACTTGGATGTTTTCATTCAGCCTTGGGATCCTCCCCACACTGTAAATGTCCTTCAGCAACAGGCCAACCGTGCTGTGTGTGCCGGGCACAGGGCCTGCTCTGCCTCCTTTTATGGGTGGGCGGGTGGGAATGGAACCTGCCACCCAGGGGCTGAAGCCTATGCAGCACATGGCAGGGGACAGTGGGGAAAAGGCCCACTGGCCGTCACAGTGTGCCTGGGCCCCAGGCAGCCCTCTTGCCTTAATAGGACACTATCTGGGCTCTTCCTGCCACATTATGGGCCTTGTATTGCCACCTCTCTGGTCTCACCCTAACTGACCACTGTGACAGGGAGCTAAGCCCTGAGCTTTTACGTGGGGTGCAGCAGCCTGTGCTGGGAAGAGATTTATTTGAAGGAAGCAGGTCAGTCAGGGAGTGGAGAAATGATCATGAATATGATGGAGGAAAAATCCTTGCCGCAGGAAGCCAAATGATAGTTGCCTGAGCATAAATGTGTATAAATATAATTTATAAGCTATTTTAAGTGTCCATAACTATCCCTCCACTCTGTTTGTTGTGAATTCACCTAAAAACAAACAAAAATGAGAGAAAAGTTGCCATCACTTACACCCCAGGGAAATGCCTGGCCCTTGGACAATGCAATGTGTCTTCTCTTCCCATTTCCCTTTGGCATGGTGGAGTTTTTCATGGAAAATATTAACTGTGATTACAACCCAGTCAGTAATGAAATCACTGAAGCAGGAGTGAGAGCCTGCAGAGTAGTTGCAGGCATTAAGGGGCGAGGTAGTGGGGACCGAGCTCCCTCTGGCAGGGGTGCAGGGTGGCATGTCTGCATGAATGCCCACACTACCCTGCACCCCTACACTGGCAGGTGGCTTAGCCACAGCCAGGTACGGTGTGCACATTATTCATAATAACAAGATCCATTTGGCTTCCTGCAGAAAGTAATTTATCTCATCCAAGCACGCAATTGACTTCTGGTGCTTATTTTAACACAGAATGGGACCTGGTAATAAGACCTTTAATTAACTGAGAACCTTTTTTTGCAAGACAGTGTTTCCATAGCTTTATAACCTATTTCTTCCTTTTTTTCTGTGAGCTTGTGTAAGCTGCATCCCTTGACATTCTATGTTGGAGTAGGTCAGTTTAGACAGATGAAAAGTTTAAATGTGGAGTTTTATCTCTCTCCTCCTTTTTTATGGAAAAATATTTTACAAGGAGCTAATCATATGTCCTGTAGTAAAGACATGGAGCCTTGAACAGAAGGAGATAATATTTTGATTTTCTGATCTTTTTAACAGAGATCACAAGGTTTGACTCAGACTTTGCCTCAGCAATCCAATTCATAAGGGTTTAATTATAGAAAATAATTCAAAATGAAGAAAAAATGCCCCCAAGAAGTTAATTATAGTAAAGGTGTAACAACAACAAAAGGAAATAATAAAAGTCTAATGAAGAAATGGCTTGTATGATATGAAATATGATGTGTCAATAAATTGACAGTAGTAATGTTTATTGATCACCTTACCATGTGACAGAAATTGTTCTAAGAGTTTTATAAAGATTATCTCATTTAGTCTTGACAACAATGATGAAGCAACCACAACTTTTATCTTGCTGTTACAACTAAGAAAACTAAGACACAGAAAGGTTAGATAACTTGCCCAGGGTCACTTGGGTAGAAAGTCCGTGAAATGCCTGCTTTGTAAGTTCAGTGATGTAAAGCAAACGAACCTGTGGCCAGAAGAGGGGTAGAGACATGAAAAATGCCAGTCAATGAGGGCGATTCACTTTTAATTTAAACTTGTTGGTATTATATATAATGTTTATGTGATCAACAAACAAACAAAAAGAAATAAAAGAAAAAAGGAATCTCTTCTGATACAGCATAGCTCCCTGGGAATTTTGAGAAAACTTTTGAATTTTCGTGGCTGAGAAAAAGAACAGTTCCCTTAGAGTACAGCAAACAAGCAGGCTTTCTTCTAGTTTCCAACTCATTGTCTGGGTTTCCAGTCTCTGTGCCATGAGGTGCTCCTGGTGAAGACACTGGGTCCGGGGGTGGGCACAGTGTGGTGGGCGAGGCACAGGAACTGCAATGGCACAATAGCGCTGAGGCTGGGCTCGAAAAGCAAGTGTGGTTAAGTCTGGGATTAGTGATCTGCTGCCAAATGGATCATGGATTCAGTGTGTTCCCTCACTTGATTGGCATTTTAAAATCTTCTCTTCCAGTCTAGAGAGCTGCAGACTCTTCATAATCTCCGTAAACTCTTCGTCCAGGATCTGACCACCCGAGTTAAAAAAGTGAGTTCTATTTTGTTGGACTGGGACTGAGGAGAAAATAAAAGATGGACAGGAAGAATAATTTTCCATGGAAATGTCACTTGCTTAAATTGGGGCTGGCTATCCTTAAAAAATTAATTATTTCATGTCAGAGAATTTATTAAAAGAATGTGCTGGAGGCAAAAAATACTTGGGAACATTTTCCATCTAATTTTTCCTTCTTAGTAAAAAGAAGTTATAAGTGCTTTCCATGGCCTTCATTTCAAATGGACAAATATTTATCTGTCCCCCACTGTGTGGAAGCCACTGCTCTTGGTGCAGGAAAATCCAGAGCAGTCTTGCCAGCCAGCATGGTCCTGAAACCTGGAGAAGTTAGACTGAGAGAGCCTCCTGTCTGTCTGGTAGGAGGCCATTAGGAGCTAGGTCAGAGTTTATGGAGTGCCTCAACATCCAGGCTCCTGTTCCTCTTCCCAGCAACTGTGTTAAGTGGTGCTTAGTGCTCCTGTTCTGCAGATGTGGAGGTAGGCTCAGGTGTCAAAAAACTTTCCTAAGATTGCACTCCTGGGAAGAGCCAGTGATAGGTCTGGAGTCCAGGTCTGTGGGATCTCTGAATCTAAGTTTTTTTGGTCCATATGCCGCATGCAGTGATCTCGGAGAGACTCTAATGGTGACTCCCCAGGGCAGCTTGCAGAGGTTTAAGGAAGAAGTAAGAGAAGAAGGCTGCTCTTCAGAATGTTTAAAAGTGATGGAAGAGATGCATTGGCTGTATGCAGAGGTGTGTGCGTGCCTGTAAATGTGTATGTGTGTTTGAGTGTGGGTGTGTGTGTGCACACGTGTGAATGTGTGTCGTGTGAAGGAACCAAGGGAAAGAAGTCAAAGTCAAATATTTTAAGAGGAGGTGATATATGGAGTCAGGTCTGAGTGGGACAGAACTGATAGTGTGGATGGATGCATTAGGCTTGGTAAGGAGAAAGGGACATGTTTTCCAGAGGGGAGGAGTGAAGTCAAGATAGAAGCATTTGCAAGGAACTACATGACCGTGGGAGGAAGTCGCCTTTGATGACTTGGATCTTCTCAGCTAATTTGGAGGCTCAGTCCTCAGTGGAGGAGGGAAGAGAAAAGGGAGCCCAGGGATATTAGAGAAGGCTCAGGTGGCTGTGGGGGGATTTGCGGGGGATGAGTATGAGAGCTGAGCAATGGTGTGGGTGTCCAGCTGAGGCTCGCAAGCATGGGTTTGGCGTGGCCCCGACAGTTTGGTTCTAGTGAGTTTAGAGTCCTGGAAATGAAAATACAAAAATAGGGCAGTGTTTTCAAGGTCTGAATGGCAGTGGTCGGGCAGGTAGGTGGTGACCACTATCATCAAAATGCAAATGACCATGAGATCTGGACCAGGCAGGAGAGTGCGGTTAGAGCAGAGGTGATGGACAAGGAGATTAGAGAGAAGAAGGGTTCCTTCAAGGCAGGAGGTGGAAGCCGTGACCATAAGGAGGCTCTGGTCTGAGGAAAGATTAAAAGCTTGAGATCACATTTCCCTGATTTCATCATGTAAAACTCTTTACTAAAGACCTACTTTCAGACCAGTGGTCTTCTGGCCAGCAGCATCAGCATCACCTGGGAACTTTTAAAAATATGTACTTTCTCATATCCCACCCAGATCCACTGAATCAGAGACTGGGGGTAGGGCCCAGCAACCCGTGTCTTAACAAACCCTCCTGTGGAGGATTCTGATGTAGTCTCAAGTTTGAGAACCTAATTTTATACTGAAGAAATGCTCATATAGCCATTTTCTCAGAAAAAGAATGACAATCTCTTTTGTAATAAGACAAATCAAACACACTTTGCCATTTTTAAACTCCAGGATGTGTTTGAATCTATATTCCCCAACTTATTTGAGAACCTAATTTTATACTGAAGAAATGCTCATATAGCCATTTTCTCAGAAAAAGAATGACGATCTCTTTTGTAATAAGACAAATCAAACACACTTTGCCATTTTTAAACTCCAGGATGTGTTTGAATCTATATTCCCCAACTTATTTCTGCCACTCAGCTTGCCAATAGTGAAGTGTTTTTGCCAGTTTCAAGATCTGATAAATTTCAAGAGTTTACCCTGCACCCAGATGCTGTAATTAGTTTGAGACAGATTCATTTCATGGAATTGGAAGCTGAAGGGACAAGCAGAAGCCATTGAGACTTCCCAGTGGGACCATGGACACTTGCTTACAAGCTTGGTGACTTGTTACCTGCTCCTGATGGTTGAAATCAAATTTAGGTCTTGGGTTTATATTTTCACAGTGGTTTTTTTTTAATGAGTTTTAGAATGCTTTCTTTTGAAAAGAAAAGTCTATTTACCCGCATGCAAGGGAGAGGTGTATAAAGAAAAATCATGTGTAATTTTCAAAAGCAGATTTGAAGGTTTTTTTTCTAGCCTTCTAAAAAAATAGCTCCTTCTTATAACATTTTTGACACCAACCCAGGAAATTAAATTAGGAAGTTTGTTGAGTCTAAACTTTATTTTTGCTTTCAGAACACTCTTCGGTGAGACTGGGGTTTTTTTGTTTGTTTGTTATTTAAAGAAGGTTTAAAATATATCATTCACATTTTCCTGGGGCAGAGGGTGGGTGGTGTGACAGCCTATCCTATTGACCCCTGGTGTTGACACAGAGTGTGGAGCTGGACAGTGATGATGGAGGGGGCAGTGCCGCCCAGAAGCAGAAAATTTCCTTCCTGGAGAATAACCTGGAGCAGCTCACTAAGGTTCATAAGCAGGTAAGAGGGTTCTGCCAGCTCCTTTCTGCTTCTCCTTCTCTCCTGGAGAGAAGCCTCAGTAGGTTTGGCTGCAGTACAGAAGGCTGTGACGTTGAAGGAAAAAGGACTGTATATCATCAGAGAACGGGCGTGCTGGAAGGGTTCTTAAAAATCCTTTGGTCCTCACTGACTTCCCTTATATAAAAAACATTTTCTTTTATTAACGCAAAATATAAAGAAGTGAGTTTGAGCTCTCTGGGATTTGGAGAGTGAGGTGTTCAGAGTCCTGTATTTTCTTCCTGTCTCCACCCCTGACTTTAGACCCCATCTGGCCTAGGTGTGTCCCGTGACACCTCTGAGGCACCTCTATGGACCCGAAGGCTGCACAGAATGCAAAGTGGATTCATGTCCCTTATTTTCACAAATGAGGAAAAAGAAGTGACTTGCTTCGGGCATGGGTGGGAGAGCTGGGACTGGAACCAACAGCCTCTCTCCTCTGTCCTCCTATTCCTGGCAATCTTGGGTGCCCCCTTGGATCCCTGGGATGCCCTGGCATTTGTCTAGAGTGACAGAAAGTGATAACTATGTCCAAGCCCACCGGTGATTTCAGCATATTATTTGTCTTCGGTCTTTTCTGTTTAAATGCTGGCATGTCCATGACTATTTCCCCTCTTTGGGATCTGGGACGTGATGGAAATGGTCCAGCTCTTTGGACCACATGGTCAAGGGAATGTCATTTCTCTTTGACTTGTTAGCCTTCTTCAACATTACTATGATGGTATTTTCCCCCAGAGGGAGGATGACAGATTCAGCATGGTTGAAGTCATTCAGGCAAATTGCTGATGAGAAATAGAAAAGCAGAAACTGCCAGGAAACTTGAAACAGGGCTCTGACATTCATTAATTTATTCATGATTTCAACCAGTATTTATTAAAAACCTATGCTCCATGAGGCAGTGGAGCTGGTGCTGGAGTAAACCAAGCAGGTTGGACCCAGCAGAAGCTCACTTTTGCATAGCACTTTCTGATTTTCAAAACTTTTCTGGATCCACTTGGATTCCTACAAAGGCCGTATTATGTACTATCCTTGTTTTATAGATGAGAACCCTGAGATCTGTGGTGGTCACATGACTTACACCAAGTCAGATGACCAGGAAGTAATAGAGTTGGCACTTGAGCCCTCTCTTGACCCAGGGCTAGCCTGTTGCTGCTTAATTGTGGGTCTTAGGTAAGAAGAAATGAACAGAACCCTTGTTACCTGTTAGCTTTCAGATATATTGCAAAGCTGGGTCCAAACCACATACCAGTGTACACAGTGGGTTCTACATGGAAGGAGGCCCTCAGAGAGCTCTAGAACATGCATGTTTTTCACTGAGTGCTTTTAACTGCTTTAAATTTCTCTGTCTTCCCATGCTATGTCCTAGTAGTAAATTTTCTTACATTATCACCACCCCCCACCCCCCAATTGTCCCAAATTGTAGGTGTCCTGTGGCTGGAAAGGGCTTTTATTTTTATATCCCTCCTCTCCATTCCTTGCATCCATGAATTATGTGTTTAGCAAATTGGAGTCCCAGGGTTTGGGATTTTCTTTTCCTTGACTGCTCACCGACTTTATGGTCATGTGGGCTCTCCAGGACGATCTAGCAGGGGTGCTGGTTCAGCTGCAGGGCTGATTCTAGCTGCTCTCACTTCCCATGCTCCTGACGCCGAGGCCACAGGCTCCCTGGTGGCTGACACTTTCCCCTCCTGCCGCAGCTGGTCCGGGACAACGCGGACCTGCGCTGTGAGCTGCCCAAACTGGAGAAGCGGCTGCGCGCCACCGCCGAGCGCGTCAAGGCCCTGGAGAGCGCGCTGAAGGAGGCCAAGGAGAACGCGCTGCGGGACCGCAAGCGCTACCAGCAGGAGGTGGATCGGATCAAGGAGGCCGTGCGAGCCAAGAACATGGCCAGGAGGGCCCATTCTGCCCAGATCGGTACGTGCGCGTGCGATGGCACCCGAGGGTCCACCAGCTACGTACAGCCACCTCTCACTTAGGACCTTGCTAAAAGCTGCCGGACGTGCCGGCCCATTCTGAACATCTCAAGGGCAGCAATGGAGCCTGCAGGACTTAGCCCTGCCCGTGCCCCACAGCACCCTGTGTACATCCTGGGAGAATGGGAACGTCAGTCCCGGGTTTCCCACACCAAGATATTTCTGCATAGCTGAGCAGAGAAGCCAGCATAGGCTACAGGCAAAGGTTTTTGGCTGTAAACAGAGGTACACTCTTAGAAATATTGGAATGCACAGACATTTCTCAGCAAGGCCTGAAGGCCCCTTTGTTCTGCACCTGGTGGGACCATGAAGGAACCTGTGTATAGCCAGAAGCTTTAGGAAAAGCCACTTGTAAGTGCAGGTTTGGAAATACCCTGGAAAGAACCAGGCTGGCATTGGTGAGCAGGGTGTGGTTACAAGCCGGCGGGGGCCTGGAGTTCTAGCCCCTTCAAGACTTGTATGGATGTGAGCATTTTGCCCAAGTAGGAAAGGGGGGTGCTGCTACTGAGTCACAGTTCCCGGGATGGAGCTATAGGAATACAATGTCTTAGGGAGGTTCTCTAAAGAGTCGTGAGTTTCAGGAGCAACACAGATCTCCTTGAAATCCAAGGGGACCTGTGGATCTACCTCAGATAAAATAAAAAGGCCTTTGTTTCAAATTTTTCTTAGCCTGACTTAAAAATAAGCTAATTGATGTATAAGTTTTCGCTGCCCCAAAATATTTGGGTGCCCTGCATTTGGTAACTGTGTGGGTAGGAAGGAAAACCTCCCATGTTCAGAGAGGTCTGGTGGTTGATAAGAGTTGTAATGTTGGTAAGAATTGTGACCCTCAGTTGTCACATGTCACCTGAATGTCTGTTCTCTCTCCTTTCTGTCGGTTGGATACAGCCAAGCCCATCCGCCCTGGACACTACCCAGCATCATCTCCAACAGCTGTCCATGCCATCCGAGGGGGAGGAGGCGGCTCTTCAAACTCCACTCACTACCAGAAATAAATATGAAGTGAGTCCCTGGTGTCTGGGATGGTTTCTCTGTGGGGTAGCCCTGGGGTGCATCTGCAGGCAGCCTTCTGGCCTTCCCAAAGCCCCTGCCTGGCCATCCCTGCCACATGCATGTGGACTTACAACAGATCAGAGACCGGGCCTACTCTCTTCTCACTCCAGAGACCTGGGGTTTTGTAGGTGAGGCCACTTGGGGCCAGGGGGACCCTGAGCCAGGCCCAGCCTGACCACCTCCAGGGATAGGTGAGGTGTAGTGAGGGATTCTCCTGAGCTTTCTTTTGTCTGGGGGGCTCTCCGCTGGAGCTGGCATCCAAAAGGGCATTCCTTTTTTGTCAATTGCCTTTACCCAGAGCAGACAGAAGTGGGGGGTTGCTTTATGTCTTAGAAACTGAATATAAAGAAGGAGCCAGGTAACAGAAAGTCATATTTTTATAATTACTATCTCAACAAGTGGGGTTTTTAAGAATTATGCTAATTTATATCTGGGTGGGTCCAGACCACTCTTTTCTTGGACAGGGTAGTCTCTAAGCTTCTCTGCCTGCAACCCACATGCCTGACATTGTTCTACCAGCAGAAAGAAAAAGAAAACCTGTCTTTTTGATTGAAATGGAGAAGAGAGGTTACTGGTTGGGTGGCAGACAGACAACTATGTGGTTGGAAAACTTTGTTCAGGAAAACTCTGACTTTGGACATGTAGCTAGGAGGAGGTGGCTCTGAATGTTGCTCTTACCAGGGAAGCTAGCTTGCAAGGCAGGTGGCATGCAGGGTGTGAGGGCATCATGATCAAGGGCAACTCAGGAGAGCAGTGATTACTGTTCTAGTCCATTTGACATCAAGGTAGGAAGGTGAATGGAAGGGCCTGGAGCCTTCACTCAGGGTGAGATGCCAGCATTGCCAAGGCTTGGCCTGAAAATGCAAGGAGGACGCTGGTGGCTCCCTCAGACAGTGCCAAGGAGCAGGCCAGGGGCTGGTAAAACTGGCAGGAACAGGAGGGTGGGCAGCACGTCCACCAGCATCTGCCATATCCCAGATGAATGGATGGATGGGAAATGGTCTTGACTGTGAGCTACCTCATTCAGATCCAACCTCTGCTTTTGATCAGAAATAAAGTGAAATTAGGTGTTATAAAATTGCTTTTGATTTCATGTTGTCAGTTTTGAGAGAACTGGTAAGATCAGGTTGGGCAGCTTAGAGCAGAAAAGCAGAAGCAGTGGATCCCAAACTTTGGTGGGTGTCAGTATCACCAAGCACCCAGAGGCCCAGGCTCCTGAGAGTGGGATAGGGCTTGGGCCTTCGTATATTTACCAAGTGCCCCAGAGGATTTTTGGTATCCACCAAAGTTTGAGAACTATTATCCTAACGTAACTGGCTTATACAGGATGGTGGTTTATTTCTCATGTAAAAGGAATTGGAAGGTGGTCTCTCAATAGCTGGTAAAAGAGCTCCACAGTGACAATAGCTAGTCTCTTAACTTTAGACTCACTGTCTCCAGCAAGTGCCTTCCTTCTCAGGGTCACCTCAGGGTCACCAAGTGACTGCTATAGTTTCATCCATAGTGCCTATGTTCCAAGTTTAGCAACCAGAGAGGAGACAGGGAAGAGGCAAAAGCAGCCATCCTGGATGAATCAGCTTCCTTTAAGTAGTCCTTCCAAAGTCCTGTTCAGTGCTGATGCCTGTAGCATCTGGCCAGACCTGAGGCAAATGGCTACAGTAAATGGCTTTCATCTCATCTAGCTCAAACCCAGAGAGGCTGCCCCAGGAGCAGAGAGGCCAGTCTTTTTCAGGCCCCAGAGTTGGACACGGAGCAGTACAGTGCAGCAAGGAGAGGACAAGGGATTTGGATTCAGCCAGACCTGGGTTCCAACCCCAGCCTTGGTGCTTGACTCCTCTGTGACCTTGGCAAGTTGCTTGATTTCTTTCAGCCTCAGTTTCTGCATTTGTCAAATGGGATCAGGCATCGGGAGACTGTTCTGTACGTGGTTAAGAGTGGATGAGACAAAGAAGGCTCTGTTCTTGTGCAGTGATACGCTTATTGTGGGGAGACAGACAATATAATGAGGTAACTGCAAGTAGTGGTAAGTGCTCTGAGGAAAATAAGAACAGGTTAATAGAATAGAGATAGGGGACACTGTTTTAGAAGAGGAGGTGACATTTGAATTGAGAACTGAATGGTGAAAAATGCTGGCCACTTAGGAACCTGGGAGAGAGTGGTACTGCTCGCTGGAAGGTGGAATGAATGAGGTGTGTTTGAGGAATGACAGCAAGGCTGGTTAAGGCTGGGGTGCAGTGAACCAGGGAGACCGTCCTAATTAAGGTTGTTGGGGAGGGAGATAGTTGAAATAAATAAAGTGTTTGAGGCCCAGGGGAGCAGTGTAGATTTCAGTCTAAGTGTAAGGGACTGCTGGGGGGCTTTGGGCACAGGAGTGGTGGGACCTGGTTCATGATTGGACGAGACCACTCTTGGGCTGTACTCCAGAGAATGGGTGGAGGTGGGACAAGGAGAGTGAGAGAGTGGGCTCACCTCCGGGACTATTGAAGGTGTCTGCTTTGGGAGGTACAGTGCAGAGCCAAGGTGGCAGCAGCAGAGGGCGAGAGTGGTCAGAGTCAGCGTCGTGTTAGTGCTAGATTCAGCTGTCAGGGCTTAGGGACTAGCACAGAGAAGAGGAGGAGGAAGGGAGAGAATAGAGGTAGTTCCTAGGTTTGGGCCTTAACAACTAAGTAAATGCTGTTACCTTTTTAACCATGACAGGGAAAATTGGAGAATAATCAGGTTCTGTGTCCACCAGATGGCGCCAATGGGGCATTGCTGAAACCCATCTGTTTTCTGAGAGTGAGGGCAGAATGGTCTACTTTTGGTTTTCCTGTATTTAGACCGTTTTGTCTCAAACTTGAGTAGTAAACAGAGTGCCTTTAAAGGAATAAAATTCTCACAGATCCACAGTGTCTAATACTTTAAGTATTATAATAATACTTTATATAATACTTTAATAATAATTTAAATAAACTCTGGGGATTTTAAACGGTATAGATTCCCTACCTACAGATCTTATACAACTGTAAAGTCAAAACAAATTTAGAAATTAGATTAAAATAAAACTACAAATCAAAAATCCAAATCATGAATATTAACATAATTTAATGAAGTGTGGTCTTTTGCAGAAAATAAAGAGCTAGCTGTGATGTGACTCTGGTGGGTGTCACTTCTTGTGGAGTTTGGCATGCCCATGCTTCTTGTGTCATAGTGTGACTCAATCTTTCACTCCCTTTCTCGTTAAAACCATTGCAGAATCACAGCATACCTTCAAGTCATTGTGTCTGCACGTGGCTGGAACACATTTTCCTGTTGAGTCCACCTCTTTCCTCTTTAGCCTGAAGATGACTAAAGTTGTGAAAAGTTGCTCCAACACCAGACATAGCACAAAGCAAACATGGTGCTGGAGGTGCGTGGGAGTGCTTGGTTGCAAGGGAACCAGCTAGACAATCTAGACTGCACATATATTAATGCTTGAGATTTTTGTGGCCAAGAAACCCCACAAAATTGAAAATTTTGTGAAGTGACACAAAGACCCAGGACACTTCTCACTTTGTTGATGTACATGAAGACTTTGCTATTTTGAGGACTGTACTTTTATCAAAAACCATATACATTAAGGCTAGAAAACATATCATATTTAATAAGATTTTAATAAACTTTGATAAAATATTTGATAAAATCTCAAAAGTCACAGTGGTAGAGCTGGCAATTCAGTGTTTTTCCTCTGTGAACCATCCAGGGAAAGCACTTCTGCAGTTTGTAGCAGGATCTTCCAGGTTAATATAGCCACACAGAGCCTATGAAGTTGTGACCCTTGTGTCTCTGATGTGTGTGACATCCCATGGATCAGTGACTGTCACTGTAAGGTGGCTCTGTCTTCTTCAGGTCTTACTATTCCGGGATCTTTACTGTCAATATATCTGTTAATTGTTAATAAAAATAATAACTTTAACTTCTTAAATAGTGGGATAAAAACACATATAACAAAGATCTACCATCTTTTACCACTGTTCGCTTTTGCTGCCATAATGCTCAGCTGTGAACCACAGCGTGAAATCCTGAACGCTGTGTTGCCTGTGTGCCTCCTACATTCGGAGTCTTCAGCCTGCCCACTTGGCTCAGACATCTGGAATGCACAGGTTTCTTTCTACTTCAAGAAGCTATACACATACAGGGAATTCCAGGTGTGTAGTAGAGAGAGGAAATCCAGTATTTTCTAACCTAGCACTTAAACCTCAGGTTTCTTTGACTTTGAATGCACCTGGCCATTTCCCCACATTCACTACCCTCTGCCAAAGACCTAAACCTTTGGCCCACTTAGGCTGCTGGCTCCTCTTTTTTTGAGCTGAGAAAGTAGTACCCTTCCCTGAACCCTCACCTCACCCCTCTGCCTCCCTTGCTTTCCTCACTTTCCCCATGTGGAGTGAAGTTTTCTCTCTAAGCATTTGACTATCAACAAGGCCCTTCCTGTTGTGTTCTTAGGTTCAGGCTGAGCTTCCCAAGCTGGTACTTACTCATTTGCTGGTACTTGCTGATTTGATTCATTCCCTGTCTTTCCTTCTTGTAACTGTGTTCTCTGTCCAGAGTACCTGAATTCAGCCTACCTTGCACCATTGTTGGGGTTTGCCTTGACCTTTCTCCCGGTCTTGATGCCTTAATCACAAGTAAATTATAATAATCACTATATTATATATACCTAAGATGTACATGTTTACTTTGGCCCACAGCAGAAATGTGTTCACATCACACATGGAGGGTGAGGGTGGGAAAGGAGTTGCTTTCAGGTTTATCCCTCTGAAATAGTGAAGCCAAGAAGTCAGTGGGAAGCCAAGGGCACAGTGGGATCCTTCAGCCACACGTGTGGTCTGCATCCAAATCCCTGGTCCATTGCTAGTGTTTGAAAACCCTAGCAATAAGTGATTGAATTACATGAATGTGCACTCAGGGAACACTCTGCCGTAGGGAGGGTAGGTGGGTAGCTTTGGGCTCAGGATGTGGAGTAGTTGGGCTGCCCAGGTCTGAACCCCAGCTCTCACGCACTGGGTAAGTTACTTTGTCTCTCTGTGCCTCAGTGTCTTCCTTGTAAAATGTGGCCAATGACAGTACCTCCTTATAGGGTGGCTGTGAGGATTAAACACGTTTATATATTTAAAAAGTTCAGGCTAGGGCTTAGCACAAGAACAAGCACTCAGTGCAGCCCGTGTGGTCACTGTCATCTAATCCAGTCACCTCGTTATGCATTCCAGAGGCAGGATGAGCCGTCAAGGTCCCACAACTTGTTTTAGTGATAAATCTTGGACTGAGAACTCTAATCTTCTGTATAGCAGTTCTCAAAGTTCTCAACCATTAATACTCTTAAAAAGGATAAATGACATAAAAGAGCTTTTATCTTTTTGGGTTATACTTATTGATATGTATCATAGTATAAATTAAAACAAAATTAAAATATTGCCTGATTCGTTAAAAAATAATTATAAGCTCATATACCGTAAATGCCTTTTCTAAATGAAAAATAACTATTTTCCAAAACGAAAAAAAAAATTTAGCTGAGTGGCATTGGTTTACATTTTTGCAAATCTCTTTGATGTCTGGCTTAATAGACGACAGCTGGATTCTCCTAGCTGCTTCTGCATTCCCTCTGTTGCTGTGCGTTGTTTTGGTTGAAGTATGTGGAGAGAATCCAGCCTTGTCATTCCCGGCAAGATTCTTGGCCTCTGAATTGCTAAGAAAACTGTGTCATGGAGAAGTTAGGATTGCGGTACCTACATGACAGGCTTGTCTGGGAGTCGAATAAGATAATATGAAAGAAGAGAAAAAAGGCTTTGAAGAGTACCTCGCGAAAATTAGTCCGTCACATATATTAGCTAATGTTATAGTGGTCGTGGGGACAGGACTACTAAGAATAGACGGAGCGGGACTGCAAGGAGAGAGGACAGAAATAACTGTAGGTGTATGCCATTGAGGCATAGCACTTTGAAACTAGCATTCTGAATTCAAAGAAAAAGTCGTAGAGCACTGGGAGGAAGAATTCCTGATTTTGTCTACAGTGTAGTAGGCTGCTATATTTTAACACTTCCTAACTTCATGTTTCTGAGTCATAAATTCAGAGCAACGAAAACTGTTCCTCCATATCCCATCGTACCAAAGATCCAGCAAGATAAATCCACTTCTATTCAGCAGCGATAAGTAAAGTACAATTGGTAATTCTTATAATGTGGGGATTGAATTGTATAAAGGCAAAAGAAAAGATAAAACTATGTACTGTTTGGATTAAGCTTAAGTCCACTGCAAGCAATTGCAAAACCCAAAGTTAGGGAGGGGGGAAATATCTGTAAATACTTCTTGCAAAACCCTTACATAATTGGCTTCTTTCTTCAGCCTTACCTACCCCTCCTAAAGAAAAGTGATTTTATTTCCTCCTAAATCTGGTCCATGTTGCCACTCTGAATTACCATCTCTAGTTTGTCAGAGCCTCAAGGCTAGTCCAACAGCAGGTCAGTTGGTCCAGTCCCGTGCCTCTAGGTGACTGAGTGACTACTCTGAACCCTATTCTAAGAGAGCGTCAGCAGAACTGGGTTTTAAATAGTCTCTCCGGGACAGGAACAGTCAGAAATGGCTTCTCTTAGGGCTAAGCCATTTACCTTTAAAACTGATATCCATTTTCTCTCCTGAATTTATCTGAGGAGATGGATATCCAGATAGTGGGGAGGACGGATGGGGGTGCCCGAGTTGAGTCTGTTTTTCTTGGGCTGCTGGAGAGACTTCCCGGGCAGACAGGCCTGCACAGATTAAGTCAGGATGATGAAGAAGAACCTCTTCATGTAGAAAAAGGACCATTATTGGTGGAGCTCCTCTGCTCTTCCTTGCAGCAACCATCCCACTTCTCCTCTCTCACCCTCCTTAAGGCAACTAAGATAAGCAGGCTGGTCTCCTTTGCAGCCCCCTGTTTCTTCTTAACTATTAGCCCAAGCATGCTGGATCTTGCACATGGCAGGGAATGTGGGGTTTGAATGAAAGGCCTTCTAGTGGAAATCGTGTCACTTCATGGTCTGCTGGAGTTTGTGTGTCTAATGCCTGCTGTGTCAACATGGGTTGGCTGCAGTCACTGTGTCAAGCCATAATCCTGTGATTTAAGGTATGTGCCCAGTACCTCCCTGCCTCTGGGCACGTGGGAAGACCACCCCATCTGAGCAGGGGGGTCGTGTGCTCGGAAAAATGAGCCGTGAGAAAGTGAAACAGAGATTTCAATTTCAAAGTGGTTTTCAGCTCAAAGTGAACAACTATGACCATGCTTTTAAAAGTTTCATTTCTGGTCCTAATAATAAGCACAGAATATCACCAGAAAGGCTGACTATAAACATGCTCTTCCCAAAGACAAATCTTTCCCTCTATAACTTCTAAACATGACAGGAATATTACCTGGTAAGTTGTTTAAACCCTTTTTAAATTGAGCAGCTTTGTAATTGTGGGAGACTGTACTCTTGGAGAGATGGTGGTTACCAAATGAGTTCCCTGAATATTTATTTTTTGTGTCAGGGAGGAGGTGGTATTCTTAAAAAGAATGTGTTGTTCTCTTTTTTCCTACTTAATTTCTATTCACTATTTCTCTCCCTTGTTTTTACACTCACTTTGCTCTTATCTACTTGTATAATCCCTTTTCATACCCTGAATCTTTCTATTTACACATAATTTACATCCTGCTTATTTATATAAAATATTTGAGGCTGCTTACAATATTATAACATAAATCAAAAGAGTGAAGACTAAGAAAATAGAGAGGGAGAGAGCATTATAGCAGGAATCTGAGATATCTACTGCAGTCTGAGGACTAAATTTGGATATAATCCTTCCAGAGGCAAAACAGAAAACCCAATGTGTCTGGTTATGGGGTTCTTTTTCAGTCAGAAGAGTGGTGGGGCTCTGGGTTGGTGGCTGTCATATTTCCTGTACCAGGCAATTCTGTAAGGATGAGGCTCTACTTACTTCATTTGTCCCCTGCACCCCGGTGCCCCATAGCGCCATGAGGTCTACACAGACCCATAGGCAAGATCGCAGACAGACCTTGAGCCTCCAGCTATGGAAGGAGGATGAACCTTCCAGTGTCTTCTGCACATGGAGCTACTGGAGTTGGTCCAAGGTCTCACAAAGGCCCCTCAGCTCTGGCCTCTGAGGCAGGACTAGTCCAGACCTTCCTCCTGGGGCCTGCCCGTGAGCAGATCAACCTCTGGTGGGAAGTGGAGTGAAATCAAAGGGGGTATTCTACTGGGAGACTCCATTACTTTGGGGGACCGGGAACCTCCTTCTAGAGAGAGCCTGGGTTAGCGGCCATGTCTGATCTACCTTGCTGTGCTGGCAAGGTAGATCAGACATGGCAACTGCGAAATGTTGTTTACACTCCCTTAGGGATGAGAAAATGCTTATGTTACTCTGAATATCTATAGCTTCAGTAGATACTGAGTTTTGGAAGAGAATGTTGGCTGTCAGGAATAAATTCTCAAAGCAAAACCAGGAAGCAAGAGGCTGTGCTGCCCAAGACATTATCTACTAACCAAATGTGTCTTTTGAGCTCTTGATGTGCTGAAAGTATAACATATGCATCAGATTGAAAATGCTTATGGTGAAAAAAGAATGTAAAATATGTCAATAATAATATTGTAATGTAGAATATCTCAACATGTAATATTGATTACATGTTCAAATTATAGCATTTTCAATATATTGGGCTTTATAAGATATATTATTAAAATTAATCTTACTTGTTTATTTTCACTTTTTAATGTGGAAGATTTTAAAAACTAAGTATGTGGCTCACTTTGTATTGGACAGCTGTGGTCTAAACATCTAGAATTTAAAAAAAGTTTCTGAGGAGTGAATTTCCACTGTGTGTTCTCTAACGCTTATGTTCTCTCTTTGGTTCTCTTTCGACAGATCTGATTCCACGTAGCATGTCAAGGACTACATTAATCACCAATTCCTTTATTTTTTTCCCCCTCCTACACAGTTTTCATTTTCTTTTACACTCGCTTACCCCAGCCATCTGCAGTACACCAGTTTCAGGTATTTTGAACTGTGTAGAATTTCTGTGTGTACAGATGTGTGCTTGGACTTTTCTCTTTCTGAGAAATTTGAAGGAGATGATTACAGAGGATCCACTTACTACTCAGAGCCATTACCACTGACTTGGCCTCCGGGGCATTGGGTGGTCTCTGGGCAGTCCCTGGAGCCCCCTCTCTTGGCAGTACACTGTCCCATTGGAATGCCCTAATGTGCCATTCCCTGCAGGGGGACAACCAAGTGCCGTGGAGGCGGGTGATCACGCTCTGCCTCAACTGTCTGGTTTCCTGTAAGATAGACACATTTCTTTATATTTTTAGGGAACAAAAAAGTGCTGCTATAGGGTTCAAAATTTTCATTCTGAACGTTTTTCCGAAACAAATTACCCCAAAGAAGCATTTTGAATATCCTGGTCACATCTTTGGATCTGTAACATACACCTTTTAATACGGCACCCGTTAAAATGCAAAGCAGATTTCTTCGAGGCAGAAAAACAATCTCACAGTAGCAATGTAGAATTTGTTCATCAAACGACACATCTATGTAAATGCAAAAAGTCATAAAATTCACCTCCAAGCTGCTTGCTATTGAACCTGCAGCGACTAGTCTTGGCCGGCCCAGTGTGAACATCATTCCTTCAGAAGTGTGGAAAATGCCGCAAAGTTGGATGAGCTGAAATGGGGCTGCCCCCCTCCCTGCTTCTTCCCTTCTGATCCTTCTGGAGCTTGCACTGTGGATGGCCTCTTTCTCTGGGCAACTGTTCTAAGCTTGAGGGGGTGTTGCTGAAGAAATCTAGCATCCCTCCAGCAGTTGAAAAAGGAAGCCCTGGGGTTGGGGTTGGGGGAGTAATTGACAAAATTCTGTGCCTGTCTATGAATAAGTTGCCATGAATAAGTCGTAATTTTATCCCATCATTGCAGACTGTTTGTTTGAATTCTCTCTCTGGCACCAAATAGGTTTCATCTTCGTAGGCACAGTTAGAAGAAATCAGTATAGATGGATTTTTTTACATTTAGCTATTGCTTTATTCAGATACATGAATCTAAAGCTGAATCAGCCCTTACTTCCAGTTGTGCATATTGAGAAGATCACTTTCCAGGTAGTAAAGTTTTCAGGGAAACTGACAAAGATTCAGTTAAGTTGATCTCATGTGCTGCTACTTCTTTTAACTAATTTGGGGATAAGTCGGTGACAACCAAACCCATCTCGGTAAAAGCACTCATCATGTGTGCCCAAGGTGAGTCAGCCGGTGCTGTCCCCTACAGCTGTCACCACTGGAATGAAGTGTAGGCCAGGGGAGACTGAGCGTTCTCATGGCTGTGTGGGTTGAAGATAGTTCAAGTGTGCATGTGTGCGTGTGTGTGTGTAAAGTGCTAAGACTGTGTGCATTGACTTCCAAACCCTTCTTGTACAAAATCTCCCTAACAACACAAAGCTGCTTTGACTTAATTTATTTGGTACGTGTTGCACTTTATGTGTTTTGCTTTGGGGGGGTAGTGAGGAGAGGAGGATGAATTCTATCAAAGTACTTGTATCATAAAGATGACAATTTTGGATTTGTTTAGATTTTCTTCATACTCTTTGATTTTGTTGCCAGCGCCTGCCCAATGTAACAGCTCGATCACTATTTGCTGTCTGATAGAGGGTCCTTGTAGGGCATGTTTGCAAACTTTTCAGGTAACAACGTATGCCACAGATTATAACATTGCTAATATGTTTATCTCTGATTTTGGAAGCTAAAACATAGGTCTTTGAGAGGATTGCCAATTAATAATTATCCCACCATTGCTGTTACTTAATGCAACTGTATTACTTTGTGTTTGGAAATTGAACAAAGGTCAGTAATTTTTTTTTCTTGTGGCTTTTGTTAATGTAAAATAGATTGTTTTAGATTCTTTCCAGGGTAATTTTTCCCTGCGTACTCATTTTCTACGTTTAGAGAATTGCTTAGCCTTTTATATTTCAAAAAGGTACACTCACTTATAGTTCCATATTACTTGGTCTCTACAAGGGACTGACAAAATTCACCTTACTTTTATTCACAGAGAAAGTTGGATTGGATGTCTCTGAAAGGTAATTCTGCTAGTTGCTGATCAGCCAGTCAGTTCACCTAGCTTCAGTCTTTATAGGACTTCTAAATGTAATTTTCCTGTACTGTGACTAAAAGGTAGGCAAATTATCGGAGTGGATTATATAGTATATTCAAATAGATCCCTAAATATTACTTTGTTTAATAAGCCAGTTATTATATTAGGACCACATACTCTGTAGGACGCTTTTTTTAAAAACTATGTTGAGCAGTTTTCATTTTTTTAGACTATTGCTCCCTGTACTCTAAATGTAAAAACCACACTTCTGAACAGCTGAGCCTATGATTATATTTTTGGTTGTATGCTGCTTTTTGCTAGTGTGTATGTGTGTGTGTGTGTGTGTGTGTGTGTGTGTGTCTTTTTCTTCTCTATGAGTAATTTTATATTTCATGCTACTTCTTGAAAATTTACTCTTTGATGCTATAAGGGAATAGCCAGATGGTTTATACAAATAATCTTTACCTGCAGGATGGTGGATTGCCAAATTAGAGGAATGCTGTTTGAGATATCAAGATTCATGGTTGGGAACTAAAATACATACATTAATGCCAAATGTGTTTGGCCAATTACTAGAAGTTCTGTACAAACGTATTATCTCTTCACATGCTGTACAGTTTGCTTTTGTTGAATGGCAGTTAGTAGACAGAACAGTAAGAGTGGATTAAGACTTTTAAAGGAAATAGAATCATATGATTAAGAAAATCAGAATTTATAGAAATATTGGGATAACTGAAGATATAAAAATGCTTGTCTAGAGTGTAGCATCTAGTGACTTTTGGAGCCCCAAAGTTTGCATAAGGAAGTGATATTCTTGTCCAACGCAAGACCAACACAGTGCCAGGACTCGGGGATTTGCCGGCTCTATTATCCTCTAGAAATAACTGAAAGCAAAGCAAAGGCCTTCACAGTCCCCTCTTTTGAAGTGCATTTTTCAGCAGGGCAAGAGATATTTGGACTCTAGCTATATGACACGTTGGGAAAGCTTTTTATGGACAGGGGCAGGGGGAAGGGAACGAGGGGCAGATTTCACTTCAGTGTCTCACCTTGAATATCTTGATCAAGCTAAAGGAATCACCATAGTCTAAAACTGTTTCATTTAACACTAACAGTTTCAACTTTCAAAGAAAAAGTATTGAATAAGGGCTAGGTAACTGCCGAAG